TTCTTAAACTCTTGAGAGTCATCCATGATTGTGTGCGAAGGTTCTAAGGTCCAAACAACTTCTGCTATTCCATCTCATGAGCTACACTCAGGGAGGCATTGGCATTGCCTGGAGCAAGGACAGCGGCAGTGGCCCTTGAGGACGAACCTCAATCACTCAAGGCTTGTCAATTGTCCAGGCTGTCCGGTCTGCCTTTTTCCACAGTGCTGACACACCATGCTTGGTGACCCTGTCCATACTTCAGAATTTTATTTCAGAACAAAAGTGAAAAGCCTGTTCCCTTAGCAGACAAATCAGTGATCATCCAGAAGTTTCTGTTGAGGGTCCTTGAAGGAGCCCAAAGCGCCCACTGGCCTTGCTAATGGCAGCCATCTTGGCAATGATTGGCAGATAATGGATGACCAAGGACACTTCATTTCTTTGCTGTTGTGCAAGGTTTGGAGAGTGTCCCAGAACAGCAAAGCCTGTGATATCTGTGGCTGTGTGGGCATTAAATGTATGCATTAACCAATTTAACACAGCAGTTCTGTTTTCTGAGAAGCCAACTCTACCTCTTGTCTGGAGAACACCATCTTCACCTTATTCCGTCTTTCAGTATAATCCAGCCACTGGTCGCCACAGACAGCAACTTGCACCCCTAAGGGCGTGGTTAACACCAGCACATCCCAACAACTGCACTGTCTGGCATTCTGTATTCATACCACAGTGGCAACCCCACCCGTGCTAATTCAGGGGCTTCCCACAGCAGCATCCCAAAAGCCTTTGATCATGAGTGGGGTTATCTTTTCTGGTTGCTTCTCAGTCCTACTCTGGCTGATGCTGAGTGACATTAACATGTCATGTTCAGTAATGCCCATGGCACAGAGATCACTCAGCACATGGCACAAGCTATGTGCCCATCATGTAGGGATCTACCACCAAGGGGTGAAAGAAGTCAGTGATCTGGCCCTGGCCGGTTTGGCTCAGCAGGAGTTTGGGCAGCGTCTCCAGGAGCACCTTGCGGCTTCAACGCCTCCTGGAGAGAAGCCTGCAGCTCCCGCAGAAGCCCAACACCCGACCGGAGAAAGACACGCGGTGCCTTCCGCCGCTGTGGTTGCCTCCCCGCCGGCGCCGTTGCTGCGGTCCTGCCATCGAGCCCGCCGCCGGCAGGGGGCCCTTTTCATGTTCCTCTCCCGTTAATCCGAGTAAGTCAGGTTCCTGCCGCAGAGGGTCTCCCCAGGCGCCACGTGCCGCGGGACTCAAGGTACACCGCGTGGTCCTGGCCTTCCTGGGTGCTGAGAATTTAACACCCAGTTTTCCTTTAAGCCTCACGATCCTCCCCTCCCCCACCCCTGTGACACAGCTTCTGTTATTTTCAGGTGACTGACCAGGACACTGAGGCTCAAAGTAAAGCCATTTGCCTGCGGTCCCACAGCCGGCATTTGCTGGCCCAGGATTTGAAGTGAGGTCAGCTCTCCAGGCTCAAGGCCGGCTGGTACTGTCTCGGGTAAGTTCCTCCAAAGAGGCCTTTCCTCATAGGACGACTGGCGAAGGGTTACTAAATAAATGTGTTTTAAAATTAAATACTGTGACAATTCCTGGAGGATGGCGGCGGGCAGGACCAGAGGGAGGGTGAGTGTGTGAGAGAGTGTGAGAGAGTGTGAGAGAGTGTGAGTGGACGTGAAGGTGGACGAGCAAACCCGAGCAGTGCGGAGCCGTGGAGCAGAAGGTCCTGTGCTGTGGACGGAGCAGCCGGCTACCGCGGTGAGCGGCCCTTCAGGCCACTTGTCCCTGCTCCACGGGGAGGTCCCACCATTGTGGAAGATCCCGGGTCTTCCCTGGGAGGAGGCAGTGGGAATGGACAGGGCCCAGCAACACCAGCCCACAAGCGCACCTGGCACCATCGGACCAGTGGACACTGTGCCAACACAGACTGGTGCACAGTAGTGGAGCTGCCAAGGTGCCGGTCACAGAAGCCGTGGACGGCCCGGAGCCCAGCACCATCTCCCACAGTAGCAGCCCGATCAGAGTCGAGATATACCCCCAGCAACAGAGGTGAGAGCAGACATCCATCCCCAGGCAACAGAAGCACAGACCAGCAGCTGAGACCCATCCCCAAAAACTACAGCAAAAGCTGAGCAGGGGTTGAGCCCCATGGGGCAGCAGCACTCTCCAGCCACCAGCAGCGGGACCTGGGGCTCCACAGAGGCCTGCGCGATCCAGCAGCTCACAAGAGCAGTGGGAAGCCGGAGCCCAAGAGGGACTGGTGCGATCCAGCTGCCTGTGGGTCCTGCAGGGTGCTGGGGCACCAGAGAGGCCTGTGCGACCCAGCTGCGCACAAGATAGGCATAGAGGATATGAAAATGGAGGCGAAGTGAATGGAAGCAACACAGACGATCTCCCAGTACCAAATGGGAATTACAACTAAAATAAAGACAAATTCTCGAAAAGAAAGCAACAGTAAAGCAGCAGGACAGGACCATATAACCAGGGCCACTGGTAGGATCTGTGGAGCGCAAGAGGGTGGTGGGCTGGGAGCCCACGGACAGCAGCAGTCTTAGCTGTGAGCAGCGCCCTTAGGGGATAAAGACCAAGCCTGCTCCACAGCCCAGAGAGCCAGGACAGAGCACTAAAATAGCCACAGCCACTCACCTGGGGGCTCCAGCAGAGGGAGGGCAGACTGGGCTGGAACTCTGTGAGGACACCTGGGATTTGGAGGGCACTCAGAGTTTTTGCTGAGTTGCAGCCACAAAGGACGGTGGCCAGTGTGCTTTTTCCCCAAGCTGTGGGGAAAAGCAGCAACATCCCCCCCCCCCCCCCCTGAGATTCAGCCTTTCCCAGGTGAGACAAAAAAATGCAAATTGAGGCTCATTAACAACCAGCATCTATCTCACCCTCTGGAAATCCTCTTATGCACAGCACCAGGGCTACATTCCAAGACACTGAGTAACTGAGACTACTAGCCTCCAGGAAAAAGCTAGAGGATGACTGAACCTTTCCTGGGCTTGCAAATCTACCCAGGAAAGTAAGACTTGACAGTGGTGTTTAACGTGGGCCCACCCAGGCTCATCCAAACCCAGTAGAGGGAGCCACAAACAGCAGGACACCAACACCCACAGGGAAAATTTCCCAGGCTCCAAAACCCACTAAGATAGCCAAAATGGTGAAACAAAGAAACAAATCCCAAATGAAAGAACAAGAGAACTCTATTGAAGATGAGATCAATGAAATGCAGCTAAGCAAATTATCAGAGATAGAGTTCAGAGCCATGATCTTGAGGAAGCTCAACAGCATGAGAAAAACATCAGCACCATGAGTAAAGATATAGAAACATTGAAAACCAACCAAGTGGAAATGAAGAATGACATAGCAGAAATTAAGAACACATTGGAAGGACTAACCAGCAGAGTAGAGGAAGCTGAGGACCGGATCAGTGAATTAGAAGACAGGGCAGAAAAAATCCACCAATCAGAAAACCAAAAGGAAAAAAACAATTAAAAAACAGGAAGACACCTTAAGAGAACTGTGGGACAACAGGAAATGTAATAACATTCACATCATAGGAGTCCCCGAAGAGGAAGAAAATGTGCAAGGGTTAGAGAATATATTTGAAGAAATAGTGACAGAAAACTTTCCCAACTTGGTAAAGGAAGAAGGCATTCAAGTTCAAGAAGCACAGAGAGCCCCAAGTAAGAACCCAAACAGGCCCACACCAAGACACACAGTAATTAAAATGCCAAAAATTAAAGACAAAAAGAGAATCCTAAAGGCAGCAAGAGATAAGCAACAGGTTACCTACAAAGGAAACCCCATAACTGACTTCTCAACAGAAACACTATGGGCCAGAAGGGAGTGGCATGAAGTAATCAAGGTCATGAAAAACAAGGATCTGAATCCAAGACTACTCTACCCAGCAAGGCTGTCATTCAAAATAGAAGGTCAAATAAAGAGTTTTCCAGACAAAAAAAAGGCTAAGGGAATATAGTAATGCCAAACCAGCACTGCAAGATATGCTAAAAGGACTGCTGTAATTAGTAGAAAAAATAGGAAGAATAATAGAACCACATTAAACAAAAATGCAATAAATAAGTACATATCAATTATCACCTTAAATGTGAATGGTTTGAATGCTCCAATAAAAAGACACAGAGTAGCTGACTGGATAAGAAAGCATGACTCATATATATGTTGTTTACAAGAAACCCACCTCACAACAAAAGACAAGTATCATATAATCTCACTTATTTGTGGAATATAATGAACATAACAGTCTGAGGAATGGGATAGTTCCCAAGACGTAGAAGTGGGGTACAGTCTGACAATCCCCAGAACAGAGGGTGGTGGGGGAGAGATAAACCACAGAACTTATATGCATGTATGCATGAACAATGTACATGGACAGTGCCGGGAGGGTGGGGGAGGGGGAATTCAGTGGGGTAAAAGGAGAAATATCTGTAACAAAAATAAACTAATTAATTTTTAAAATTAAATTAAATACTGTTACAAGTCCCTCATTCCCCAGAAACAACCTCCACCCCTAAACTGGATGGAGTATATGGACAGACAATTCACAAAAATAGAAATACCAACAAGAAAAAAGTTAGCCACCCTAGTAATCAAAGAAATGCAAATTTAGATTACAAGTGTGTATTGCTTTTTGCTAGCCAGAATTTTTTTTTAGTGGCCACATTCAGAGCCTGGGGAATAATTTCTTTAATTTATTCCTAACTTGTTGCTATCATCTCCACAGGATGGACTTTTCCATTTTCAACTCAACACGAGTTAAGCTTCACATGATTTACTGTGAGGAGCAATAAACATTTTATGATAACTGCGAAGGCAAGTCAGGCGCACAACAGTAAGGGGCCGCAGGGAACGCAGGAGGCAGCCGCCGCGCTTGCTACTCTGGCCCGGGCGCCGCTCGCCGGGACCCAGGGCTGGGCGGTGGGTGCGCCCCGGGCCGCCCGCAGCGGGGCGCACCGCGCGAACCACAACTCCCAGGCTCCCGCGCGCCCGCCTCATCCCGACCACGTGACCGCCAGGCCCGAGTCGGGACCACGGCAGCGGCTGAACCGACTCGGAACCTGGAGATCGAGCGGACGGGTCTATTCCCAGCGCTCATCCAGCGCGCTCACCATGGAGGTGAGTCTGGGCGCCGCCGAGAGATGCGGACGCGGGGCAGGCGGCTGGGGCGGGGCCCCTCGAGCGGCAGCTCCCGGCTCCCCAAGGTGCCCGGCGCCCCTGGCCGAGGGCCGGTGAAGGGGGTGTGTTGGAAGCACTGGCAACAGTGAGAACAGGGTTGGGGAGACGCGAGAAGTAGGGCTGGAGGTGGTTTGGGGGTTTTCTTTTTATTTGCCCCTCCTGCCGGACGAGCAGTTATTGAGCGTCGGCTGTGGATCGGCCGGGGGTGGGGCGCGGTAGGTGAAGACAGGCAAGTCCGGGGATCCCCTGCCCCGGGCGCAGTGTCTTCGGGAGGTTCCGGGAAGGCTCCCAGGAGGAGGGGAGCCCGGTGCCTTTCAGCCTGCCACACACCCTCGGGCAGGGCCCCTCTCTTGGCCAGTCCGCGGTCTGATTTCTTTTTGGGGAGAATTGGAGGGGGGCAACAACCAGACCCAGCTGCTTTCCATCCTCCCTGCCCTTGGTTCAGAAGTAGCGTTTCAGATAAAGTATTTCTGTCGGTGGAATTCACCTGGGCTGGAGAGGGTGACAGCTTGCAACACTCTCTGGTTTTTGAAAAAACCATACAGTTTTCTTCCTCCATGAAGAATTTAAGACATAGAATTTAGGACATAGAAACACAATACAAGTCATTTAGTCAAACGCCCTCCTCCACCTCCTGCCGGTCCTCTAAAAGGGGAAATAGATGGGAAGGGCTCCTGAAAAGTTCCCCAGCCAGTGCCCGGCAGGACAGGGATCTCAATCTCCCCTCTAAACACCTTGGTTTATAAATGAGGGAGCTTTTCTCAAAGCTAAGTAACTCCAAACCAGAAAAAGACAAAAACAAGTCACCTGATTGCTCTCTCCTTCACCACACCCCCTCCCCACCCAGGGTGGAGCCCTGAACACAACGCAGATAAAAGTTAAACTCAGCTGCTGGAGGCTGAGATTCGTCCTAAATGGAAAACAGTTTTAGAGCCCCAGACCCAAGTGAACCTCCGCAGCTGGAGGCTGAGATTCGTCCAGAATGGGAAACAAGATTAGAGCCCTGCCCCCTGCATATCTGACCACAGAGCTGGTTCATTGAACACTGCAGCCCCACACCAGAGCCTGCTGATTTGGAACTTTTTCTCCAGTGAAAAGGCCAGAGTGGGTGAGGCTTTGTCCCTTGTGAGCTTCCCACTCACACGTGGGGTGGAACCACCCTCTGGGTGGGCACTTCTGGCTTGAAACATACCAGACTATCTTCCCCTGACTGCCTCCTACTCTTCCTGCTTCAAAAGATGTCCAAGCCACCTGTCTCCCTGACTGGGTTAGGTGTCTCCAGGAGGGGTTTTGTCCCCAGCACCCCCCGAAGGCCTTCCCTGTGCCCCCTCACTGACTACCTATACCCTGTTGTAATAGCCTGTTCACTTCCCTCTGCCCTAATAGCTCGTTAGCTTCATGAGGGCCAAGGGCTTGTCTCACTCATCCCTATATTGCCAGCATCTGCCCCTGGCGCAACCAAAGTAAATGTTGGTTGGTTCAATTAATATGACTGTTCTGTGAGTGTTCAGTTCTACAGTAGCAGTTTGGAGCACCTGAGATAACTGCCCCAGGCCCAAGGATGATAGAAGGAACCCAGCTAGGGAACCTCACTGATTAGCCATTGGGGACATTCCAGTCATGCCAACTGCTTGATCAAGTGAACTCAGAGAAGGGGTAATGTAGCCACACCCTCCTCCACCCCCACTGCAGGCTGTACCAGGGGCTTCTGTTAAGTTGAATGAGCAAAACTCCAGCATAAATGGAGTTTCACAGGATTATTTGTAGCTGTTTGTGTTTGCCTATCTTTTGTGAACATTTGGCCATGTCAACAAATATGCTCTTTGAAATCTTAACAAGGAACATCTCTGTATAAGACTCAAAATGACTTCTCTTTTTGGTACTGTTTTAGCTCTTTACATTGAACAAGTACCACTTTCATATTAGGGGAATAAAAAGTTAGTTTTTTTTTTTTTTTTTTTTTTTAATTCTTCAATCTGATTTTTAAAAGACTGCCTAGGTTTCCATTGTCTTCCTATGAGGTCTTGAACAAATCCCTTCCCTCCTGGGACTCATTTTCCCCATCTGGAAATAAGATGTGGGTAGAGAGGGGCCAGAGTTGGACCAGATCTATTTTTTCACACTAAGTTTCATCAGAGCTCAGACCTCTCTCCCCTCTACACCCAGAGTCCTGTGTTTTACATAGTGCAGTTTTAAGGAAGATTTTATTTGCCAGTGTTCCCTGGAAAAATTGAAAACCAGGGGACTAAAACATCTCTGAGCCCAGCTGGTGTGGCTCAGTGGATTGAGCGTCTTTCCATGGACTGAGAGGTCCTGGTTCGATTCCGGGTCAGGGCACATGCCCAGGTTTCGGGCTCTATTCCCCAGCAGGGGGTGTGCGAGAGGCAGCTGATCGATGTTTCTCTCTCTCATCTATGTTTCTGTCTCCCTTCCTCTCTCTAAAATAATCAATTAAAAAAACCATAAAACAAATAAACTAAAAGAACTCTGAGAAAATAAATAAAATAGATCTTAAAAGTTCCCATCACAAGAAAAAAATATTGTAACTGTGTGCGGTGATGAATGTTAACTAGACTTATATTGTGGTGATTATTTTGCAATACATATATACATAGAATCATGTATACCTAAAAATAATACGGTGATATATGTCAATTTAAAAAAAAACAACTCTCTGTGATACTTCTAGCTCTGACATTTCAGGATTCTAATATTTGGCCACTGTCTTAGAAGGCAAAGGCCCAGCTCAGCCAGGATCTCCTTAGCGGAATGATCAATGACAGTGTTTGCAGAGCTGCTGCTTCTGGCCGTGGTCTTACCTGGTGACTGAGAGGGTGAACCTAATTGACCTGTCTGGCTTTTATCTTGCCAAACACAGTCATTAAGCCATTTAGAATCACTGTCCAGTTTCTATCCATAGCACAGACAGCACAGTGTACTGGAATGCATCGGCTTGGCATCCCTCTAGACCGGGTTGGAATCCCAGCTCTGCCAACTTAATAGCTTTATGAACTTCAGCAAATTACTAAACTTTTCTGACCTTAGTTTCCCCATTTTTTCCTTTCTGTGAGATGGGTCTAATTGTCCCTGTCACACAGAACACTTGTGAAAAGAGAGAATGTGTGAAGAGCCCTTGATGCCTCCCAGAACAGAGGGTGGACCAGATGCTCTTTGAGAAGAGCATTCAGACAGGCACTGCATGTTCATTGCTTCTACCTTTATTGTTTCTTTTTACTTATTTTTATTATTTTTCCTTTATTGATTTTAGAGAGAGAGGAAGGAAGAGGGAGAAATAGAAACATCGATGAGAGAGAACATCGATTGGCCGCCTCCTGCATGCTCCACACTGGGGATCGGGTATTCCACAACCTGGGCATGTGTCCTGACTGGGAATTGAACTGCCGACCTCTTGGTGCATGGGTCAACCACTGAGCCACACCGGCTGGACTACCTTCATTGTTTCCATATGGCTGTGAGCTCGTGGAGAGCAGAGATGTTAACCTCCATAATTCTGGTTACAGAATTGGGCTCAGCAAATGTTTAATGAACTAGTGAACAGATGTGGAGTACAGATTGAACACAGCTGCCTCTTGGCCCCTCCATGATACATACCACTGGGGCAGAATGGCGTGGCCCTGGGAGTAAGAAGACGCAATTGTTCCTCAGTCTAGTGCTTCCCCACTGGGTTTAGAGGGCACGGAGGGGAAGTCTCAGCCTGATCTGAGAGCACTGTGGCCTGGCTAGCCCGTGAGGATGGGCAGCCCACACCTCACTTCCACCCGGAGCAGGGCCAGCTCAATTATAGCTCTGCTGCTGACCCACTTCAGGACCTTGGGCAAGTCCCTGCCCTGTCTGGCCACAGATGGCCCTGATGACCACCATGGCCCTTCTAGCATTTAAGTGCAGTGACTCCATTTTTCTGGGTCTTTAGAAGAGGATGCTTGAGAGCATTAGGGTCCACAGCTTCCAGTGCCCTAAGCCTCCTGTGATACAGACTCCCTTCTCTTTCAGATGCATTTCATCTTTTCAGATAAGGTGGTGCTTCTGTTTGATTTCTGGAGTGTCCACAGTCCTGCAGGTAAGAATTGGGAAGCCTTCTAGCTCCAGGCAATGGAGAACCTGTGTTCTCTTTATTGGTATGATCTGTGGACTTTTAAGTGAGCCTGACTCCTCTTGCACAAACATTAAGTGGGAACTTTGCATTATGACTCCATTTATAATCACTGCCCTTCAGATCACAAAGGCCCAGAGAGAGGCCAGGGATGCAGCTTTTCCTTCTATTACAGGGAAGGAACTGAAGCCTACAGACAGGAAGAGACTTATCCAGGCTCACACACTGAGTAAGGAGTAAACATCAGAGCCAGAACTAGATCAAGGCCTTCTGTTGCCTTCTAGGACCTCCCTCATCCAGGCTTCACTGTCCAGCATCAGCTCAGAAGCCCACAGCAACTGCTGCAGCCTTGGACCTGAAATGAGACATCACTTTGAAAGAGAAGGGTATTCCCTTGACTTGAAAAGAGAGTTGGGCACTAATTCATGATGCAATTATGTTGCATCTTAAATAACTGAATCTTTTTTTTTTTTTTTTTTTATCCTCACCCGAGGACATTTTTCCATTTTTTGTTCAGGTAGAGTGGGAGGGAGAGAGAGGAACAGAGAGAGAGAGAGAAACATCGATGTGAAAGGAACACACCGAGTGGCTGCCACCCGCATAACCGACCAGGGCTGGGGACAAACTGCAACCGAGGTACGCGCCCTTAGCGGGAACCGAACCCGGGTCTCTCAGGACCGCAGGCCGACGCGCTAACCACTGAGCCAAACCGGCCAGGGCAAATAACTGAATCTTAACAGACTGGAAACTGCCCCAATGCTCAGCATTGCAGGTGCTGATCAAATAAATTACGGTCGTCCCTACAGTGGGTTACCATCCAGTAATCTATTGCAGAGGAAACCTAGTGGTTTAAAACAGCAATCATTTTACTATTCTTAAGGTTCTGAGTTGACTGGGCTCAGCTAAGTGGTCCTCACTCAGTCTCACATGTAGGTATAGTCAGTGACTGGAACTGGAGTCACCTTGAAGACTTCCTCACTCTCATGTCTACTGATTGATGCCAGTTGTTAGCTAGAACCTCAGTGGGGGTGTTGGCTGAACACCTACATGTGGTGTCTCCATGACCTGGGTTTCTTTGTGGTGGTGTGGCTGGGTTCCAAGAGCAAGTGAGTGTCCCAGGAGAACACTGGGGAAGTGCATGGCATTTTTGTTGTTGTTGCTGTTAATCCTCACCAGAGGATATTTTTCCCATTGATTTTTCAGAGCGAGTGGAAAGGGAGGAGGGAGTGGGAGAGAGAGAGAGAGAAACAGAAACATCAGTGCAAGAGAGATACATCCAACGATCTGTTGCCTCCCGCACACGCCCTGACCAGGGCCAGGGATCGAACCTGCAACTCAGGTATATGCCCTTGACTGGGAATTGAACCCGAGACCCTTTGGTGCAAGGGCCCACACTCTAACCACTGAACCACACCGGCCAGGGCACATGGGATTTTTAAGACCTAGCCTTGGAAGTCATAGAGCGTCACTTCTACCTTTATTGACTGAGGCAGTCACAAAGGTCTTTTCAGGTTAAAAGGGAGGGAACATGGACCCCCATCACTTGAGGGCAGGAGTGTTGACACCGTTAACAGAGCATTCGGGGTGGGACATAGTGAGGTGGCTATGTTTGGAAAATATGATCTATCACAGATACTATGAAGCCATAGAAATAAGGAGATCTGTGGGAACCGAGGGGAACTCAGCTGGATGATGTTACATACGGAAGAGTTTGCACAAATAGGACTCTATCATTCAGACAAAGGCTTATATATATACACGGTGGGGCAAAGTTGGTTTAAAGTTCTGAGTATGCAGAACAGTTTATTCTTGGATTATTATTTATTAATTATTGTACGATTTTCCATATGAACAACTCTAAACCTGCTTTTGCCCCACCTGTACATTGCAGATCCCTAAAAAGCTACTCAGAGTATTGCTAACAGCCCCCTCTGGGGAGAGGAACTGGAGTTTGGGAGACTGGGCTGGGAAGATTCACTTTCCACTGCATACCCTTTGCACTGTTTGAATTTATACCATGTGCGTGCAATTACTTGTAATTTTCTATTTTAAAAACCTGCCTCTTTCGCAGATGATTTCCTCCTGGGAGTCCAATAAAATACTATAGCTGGACCATTTAGTATCCTTCTACCTATTCAACAGAAGTAGCAATTAGCAATTAATTTTACATAGTAGCTCTAGTAAACACCGTTTTTGGTAAAATAATTTATTGTTTTTTCACATTATTATGAAAGTAATGCACACAGTAGAAACTCTGGAAAATTATGAGAAGAAAATAAAAACCTCTTGTATCCGAATTTGCTGAGATAGTTATGACTCCTTTGTTGTATCTCCTCCATTCCAGACTTTTCCATGTACATGTGCATAAACAGGACCTTGCCATACAATGCTCTTCCCTTAACAAGAAGCCCCGACAGATTTGTGCTGGCTGCTGGGGGAGCAGCAGGGGTGGTGGTGTGTAGCTTCTTCACCCTCGGCCCTGGCTTTTCCAGGCAGATGCTTTCTGATCTTAAAGCCACAGTCCCGTGGGCCAACCCTACCAAGAAAGGGATGGCCGGGGAAAGAGACAGTGCAGAAGCTCTGAGCCCAGAGGGTGGGGAAGAAGCTACAAGAGAGGGAGATGGGATGGATCCAGAGGCAATGGGTGGAGGTGCTTCTCTGCCCCCTAACAGCTTCCCTGCGAAGCTGCTGGAAGGGGAACAGTGCTTGCCTGGCCAGGGCTCAGCAACTCTGCTTCCTTTGACAGGCATGGCCCTTTCAGTGTTGGTGGTCCTGCTCCTGGCTGTGCTCTATGAGAACATCAAGTTTGGCAAAGTCAAGCTGCTCCACCACACTCTGGTGAACATGCCCACCTTCACCAGCCAGCAACAAGAGGAGACAGACCAGGACTCTTCAAGCTCAGAGTCACTCCCAGTCAGCAGACCCCGCCTCAGGTAACAGGCATGGGGTTGGGGCCTGGGCAGAGTACTCACATTTGCCTCGAGAGGTAGGCTGGGCCCAGACAGCATGTACCCCGTGGCACAGAAAGGAGATTGAGGCCTCGGGAAGGACCAGGACTTGTGCTCACACTTAGTAAGTCGTGAGGTGAGCTACAGCTCGGGTCTCCTGATGCCCAGGCCAGAACTCCCTCTATGAAGAGCCACTTGGGAGGCTCAGGTCTTCAGAGCTCTGGTGCAGGCCTCAGCCTGGCAACAGGGGTGTCTACCCAGCCCTCTCCTAAATCTCATCAGGCTTCCTTAGGCCACGGAGGCTTCCAAACCCAGGATGGGATCTGCAGCTGTCCCTATACAAATGATAAGAATAGCTTTCAGCAATGTATCCGCATTGGCGGGGGAGCAAGCCACCTCTTCTGTCCTGTCCTTTCTTCCCTTCCCATTCAGAGAGAGCAACCATTTGGGGTCCCACTTCTGCCCTCTCCAACCTCAGCAGTGTATACTGAGCCTGCCTGCTCCTTAAGTGGGTGTCTCAAATATTCACCACCATCCTGCAAGGGAGGTATTCTTATTCCTGTTTTACTGATGAGAAAATTTAAGTTCAGAAAGGTTAAGACATTTGTGTTAAGACACAGGACTAGCAACTGATATGTTATCAAAGTCCATGTTCTCACCATAGTAATACTGCCTCCACTGTAGACTCAGAAAAAAGAAACCGGCCTTACTGACAGTTTTGTATTCTATCAGACATTTCCCCTTTTTGCCTAGGATGCCAGGAAGCTCAGAACTAAGCCGAGAAGTGATTGTCCTAGGTTCCTTGCACAAGTCCCTCTCCCCTCTCTATCAGTGGTTTCTGATATGTCTCTTTAGAAAGAAATCTCTCCTGGGCTAAATATACAAATTATAAATAAGCAGATTCTGTAATTCACCTGCTCTTACCCCTTCCTGACACCAACTCCTGACTTTTAGCTCATTACCAACATTAACTCGCCTCTCCTTTTTATCTAGGTGGTTTTTGTGTCACTTTGGCCACTCTCTAATCCACGTCGCTCAGGTGGTCATTGGCTACTTCGTAATGCTGGCTGTAATGTCCTACAACACCTGGATTTTCCTTGGCGTGGTCCTGGGCTCGGCTGTGGGCTACTACCTAGCCTACCCGCTTCTCAGCATAGGTTAACTGGTGAAGGCTGTGCAGGCTGAGAGCTGGAGAAAGCTGAGGCCCCCTCTTCCAGGCCCAAGCCTCCTTTTTCTTCTGATGGATGTTCCTCGCCTCACTCCCCACTCCTAGAAACAGCCCAGGCCTGATCTCATGCCTTAGAAGGCAGCTGCGACCAGCGGGAGAAGGGAGAGAACAGAACCTGGGGGCAGGGCTGCCAAGACCATGACAACTTATCTGTGACTCAAAATTAAGAATTTCCAAAGATCTTCAAGACAGGGAGATGGGTTCTGGGTGAAGGACATGGAACCTGGATGCCCTCTGCTCTCCTGATTTGTGCCTTACCTAGAGGAGCATCTTCCATTGGACTTCTGACCTCTTGGCTTTGGGGGACAGAGACCAAGGCGGCTCTCTTTTCTCACCCTTCTGCCTTTGGAACCTGTGAAGATCGTCTCTTCTATGGATCATGCTGATACACTGAGTTTTCATTTTTTTTCCCACTGAACTCCTGGTTGGCAATTTTGCACATTAATACATAACAAAATGTTCAATGAAATGATTTCATTTTATTTATGATGGATGGCAGCATCTGCTGGGACCTATTTCCCCTTCTTGGGGGGAGAGTCAGTGACAGCTGACTAAAGGCAGAGACAGGGCTGTTATCAAGGCTCTGTGGATAGAGAGCTCCTATCAGTCTGCACTGCTTGTAGGAAGAAGACAGTCTAATAGCCTTAGGTGCCTGGGAGCCCATATGGCCTTAATGCACCCTTTTATTCTGATCCTTCTTTTATGCAGAACAGAAAACTGCACTGAACAATCCTTAATGTTTTTTTTCTTTCTTCTCACCCATAACAAACATGATTCATTCACTTGAAATGCTGAGAAAGCCATGGGGGAGGTACTGACTGAAGATGCAATAAGCAGTCAAACCAAAGGGTAACATTTATAGAGTGAGACAGGATTCTCCAGATACTGACGCTGTTCACTTTACAGAAAAGGAAACAAGACCCAGGGAGAGGGAACCACTGCTGTGTACTGTAATGTCTACACTCAGGTACCTCATGGGCTAGACTATAGGAAGATGGTCTTCAGTTTGGAGAATTAAAAAAGAAAAACATTTTAATAAATATATATATATTTTTAAAGTGTGTGACCCTTCTGTTTCTCATTCAAACCAAGCACACGTAGCCCTTACAACAACTGCAGGGCTGAGTGGGCGGATGGAGCTGGCAGTGCTGGCTGGAGGGCTGAGGACTGAGTTGTCCACCTGCCATGAAGACAGCTCTGCTCAGGGAAACCCAGCCCCGAAACGCTGTGCCCACAGGCAGACACCCCACAGTACCAGCCTAGCAAACAGTTATTCTTTTGTTCATGTAACAAATAGTGATTGAGTGTCACGAGAAAAGTAACTGTCACATGGACTATAAATACCTATGTTGGCACAATTATTAGCACCTTCTTTCCCTGAAGGCAGGAGCAAAAAATGGATCAAAACTACATTTTAATTTACAATAAGTAACTGGAACAAAGGATAGTATGTGATGCCTTCAGTGCACTCCCCACACTTACAGGGAATTGGAAAGCTGCCGAAAGTCACAACAGGTGTAAGCCTCACGCATCCCTTAATATGTCCTGATCAGCTACGGCTCCCTCCTCAGGTGTTCTGCAACCTGTTCAGTTTGATACATACAGTCTCTTTTATGTACTACATTTAAGATTTTTTAGTACAGAGGGCTTTTTAAAAAATATGTGCTCTAGAGAAATTAACTACATGGTTAAGACTCAGTAGGCATGTCAACATAAATTTTTTAAATTTAATAAACACCTATATAGTGCTTATGATCCACCAGGCAGTGTTCTAAGTGCTGTACAATAGTAACTCACTCCTCACAACAAGGTAGAAACTATTTCTGTCCTTGTCTTAGAGATGAAGAAGCTGAGGCACAGAGAAGTTAAATAAAGTCACCCTAATTAAGTGGCAGAGCCTCTCTAAACGGGGATAACTGTCTTCTGCAGGGGTTACTGGAGACGGGACAGTCTGTATAAAGAGCTCAACAACAGTGCCTATTTGTTAGACAACAAAATTTGGTCAGTGGCAGTTCTCACCACCTCCCTGCCCCACATGTGGGAGACAGGCTCCACACTGTCGTCACAAAGGATGCTGACAGGCCAGATAAGGGGAATTCGGGTTCAAATCTTATAAACATTTAACATCTGGCACATTTTTATTAAAAGTATTCTACCAAAAAGTTTTGGTTGCCTCCCACACGAAAAAAATGGGAGAGAGAGAAACATGAAAGTATTCTACATTTTGAAGACTGGTTGCATGGTCTTTGGAAGATCTTTGCAGAAATAAACATATTTTCTCATTCCTGTGTTCTTCATTAGTCCTGGCCCTGAGTTCAAAGGGAATGGGAGCTGCCCTCAAAGTGAAGAGTCAGGGGCCATGACGGATAAAAGTAGGGGCCCTCCCACCTTCTATGCACGGCTTCCTAGGGTATAGGACCTGGCATGCAGGAGCATGTGGATGATAGGACTGGTCCTCAGATAACCACAGTGCCCTGAGCCTTAATGCAGCTGGATGAGCTGGGACAGTAGAGGGTGGTTTTGTTTGAAAACCTGAATTTCCAGGGTTAGGTTCCAAAGGGAATATGTTACAATGGTTTTCTGCACGTTAAGTGACCCAGATCTGTTACAACTCCTACTGTTACATTCCTAGAGAGGAGCTGTGCCCATAGAACCAAATTCACTTTCTCCCCAGGAGCTTGAGTCAAGTTTCATTATACATATTTATTTTAGTTTCATTAATTTCAAAGATTTAAGGCAAAGAAAAGATAATGTGCCAGGAGTGCAGGCAAGGCTATTAATGGGTTCAGAGGTGTAACCCACCCTCAGTTCTACCAGAGACCTCACCCCAGGTGACAGGTCCTGTTGCTGGGGCAGTTGAGTGCTGGGAGGCAGACGGATGAGGCCTCTCCACAGCAGTCTGAAAGTTAGTGACAAGAATAAAAAGCTTGGACGAGCACAGGACTCTTGCAGGTGACTGATGTCGGGAGCCTACCAGCCCTTCCTCCAAATGGAACTCTGAGGCAGGACGAGGGTCAGCTGTTGATAACCCCAGTGTTCTGAAGATAGGTCCACGCTCCTCTTTACCCAGCCAGGCAGGGGCTCAGAAGTTGGCTAACTCAGATACCTGAGTTACTGTCCTCGGAATGCTCACCTTCACCTCACCCTGTGGCCCACCTAGACCCAGGGCTGGCTGTGCAAAATCATGCTTATGGAAGGGTCAGTAGAGAAACCTTTGCATGTTTCCTGGGTCTTCATCCCCGCCAGTCAATGTCATCGTCATCATCATCATCTCCAAAAAGGGGTGTTGGGGGCGGGCGTCCCTTCATGCTCTGACAAAACAGGAAAGAGTAGTCAGTCCTCACTTGTTCGTGCACCCGATGGACTTCCCGCCTGTGTAAGGTAAAGTGAACCAACATCCGCTCCAGTTCCAGGTTGGAAAGAAGGTGGCTGGTTAGGGTTTTACTAAAAAGATTAACCCTGAGGCCAGCAAACCTAGGCTTCCAGATAAAGCTGAGACAAGTAGGCAGAGAAGGGAAGCAATCTTTCAACAGAGACAAGAACACCAACTTTGTTTGGCTAATTTTGTTGTTTATTTGTGAAAAACATGTATTGATTTGACAGGTTTCCTTTCATGCAGTAACTTACATATTTCATGTGGAGAAAGATGGGAGTAGGAGAGAAACAGAGAAGCAGAGCAGCCCCAAGGAAGGAGAGGGTGCAGGAGGTTGGCAAGAATACAATCACACTGGAAAACACAATGCCACGGCCTAAGGTGGCCTGTCTGGCTCTGAACATGGTCCCATCATTTGAGAGCTGAATTTAAAGGCTTTACCACATTACTAAGTAGAGAATCCCAAGAGATGAAAAAAGCCCAGAACATGGCCACAGCCTCCCACTCTCGTGGTCTCACTGGCCCCTCCCTCCCTCTCTCCGACCAGGTTGGGGGTAAGGGTATTTATGGACCATAGAGGAGACTCTCCCCCCTTTTCATGACTTGAGCTCCTGGCCTTTTTCTTCTGGACTGGCAGGGAACAAGTCCCATGGGGTAGCAGGGATTGATGCTGGAGACAGGCACAAACTGAGTATTCTCTACCAAGGTACTGTCCTCTGGTGAGCTACTATGGCCCAGGATCTGTCTTCATAGGGCCAGCCAAAGGGTCAGAGGTCCCTGGGCTAATCCTGTCCCCACCACTGACTAACTAACCTTGTACCTCTCTCTGGGCATTAATCAAGTGATCTCCAAACTCTGACAACATAGGATTTTAAAATGTGGCTCCCTGCCTGGCCGGTGTGGCTCAGTGGATTGGGCGTCATCCCATGGAGAGGTCCCGGTTCAATTCCCAGTCAAGGCACATGCCTGGGTTGTGGGCTCGATCCCCAGTAGGGGATGTGCAAGAGATAGCCGATCAATGTATCTCTCTCTCCCTTCCTCTCTCTAAAAAAATCAATAAAAACATATTTAAAAACAAATAAAATAAAATGGGGCTCACTGCTTTGGTTTTGTTCTGGCTCTATATTTACCACTTGTATATCCTTGGACCAGCTATATAACCCTGGACATGTTACTTAATCTTCCTGAGCCTCAGTCCTCTTTTCTATGAAATGGGATAAATGTGCCCGCCTCACTGGATTAGAGAGGATTAAATGAGAATATCTATGAAGTAGTTTTCAGAATACTCAAGAAATAAAAGTCAACCTGACGGTATTAGTATCAACACCAATAACACACTGCTTCTAATATAATATAGTTAGAATAATAAAGTATTCCAACTATATTCAGGGCAGTCACTTAAAATACTCAATTTTTTCTTTTTTTAAAGTACAGAATTTGTATTCAGACTTCTCAAATGAAAATTAAATTCTTGGGCCTGGCCAGTGTGGCTAAGGGGTTGAGTGTCGACCCATGCACCAAGAGGTCGCCGGTTTGACCCAGTCAGGGCACATGCCCAGGTTGTGGGCCCGATCCCCAGTGTGGGGCATGCAGGAGGCGGCCAGTCGATGTTCTCTCTCATCGATGTTTCTATCTCTCTCTCCCTCTCCCTTCCTCTCTCTCTAAAATCAATTTTTAAAAAAATTTAATTCTTGGGAGAAACTGGGGCACATTCCTCAAAGGAATACAGGCAAAAGGGAAGGGTTCTGGTATAAGGGAACTGGATCCCAGCTCTGTCTCAGCCATTTTCCCAAGGTTTTGGCAAAAGGCAAAACCCACTCTGGTTGATACACGAGGGGAGAGAATTTGCCCCCGGTCACCTCATATTTCTGTTCCTAGTATAGACTGAGCCTAAAGCTGACCTGTGTTCCACACCCACATTTTACTAGTAAAATTCCCATCACAGCAGTCAACACATCTCAGTGACAGCCAAGACCGCTTTAACTGTGGGGACAGCAGATGCGGGAACTGAGGCTCTGATCAGGCTCTATCAGCATTTCGCCCTCCTGGCCTTCACTAGGGAGCTTTGTAAATTGAGGCTATGCCATCAGTACTTAACCCACTGTCTGCCCAGGAATCTTGTGAGGACAAAACAAGGCAGCAGGCTGGAAAGCAGGCTGAGGAAGCAGAAAAATACTCAGAAACAGGTGGTCATAATCAGAGCTGGAGGGTTTATTAATCTTAGCTCTGCCACTCTGTGGTGTTAGGTAAATAAATCATCTGTCTGAGCCTCAGTTTCTTGTCTATGAATAAGGATGGCAAAAAAGACAATCTTCCAAGTCCTTCCCAATTCTAAAATATCAGTAACACCCTAGCCAATTTGAGAAACCTGAGGCTTTAGCATTTTAATGTAGACCTAATCAGCTCAACTTTCATTTATAGTAAAAATCCTTCCTGAGTGGACAGAGATTGTGGTCCTTGTTCAAGAATAAAGTGGTATCTGACCATCCCCATTATGCTTACAGAGCTGCCCCCTCCCAGCCCCGAGCCTGCTCCCACAGGGCCCTGCACACAGAGCCCAGGGACTGGGCCACCAACAGACTCCATTTCTCTTCTCAGAGCCAGCAGGGAAGGGTCCCCAGGTAGTGGTGTGAGGACTTGGCTGTGCCTGGGATCTCCTTACCACCTCATCTTCATCCTCCTCCTCAGACTGTGCTTTGGACTTTGGAACTTTCAGAGTTGCCCCTTTAAACAGTTCATCCTCTTCATCCCCAGAAAGACTGAAAGAAAAATCAAGAAAATCAAGTTACAGAAAATGTTCGTGCTCCAGACCCAGTGCCCACAGGCTCTGGGGTTAAGAATCCAGCAGCTGTGGCAACCACCCAGGAATTCCTCCCACGGTGGCCTCCTCGCCCTCTTGACTCCCTCCACAACCTACAGACTGAGAGATCTTTTAAAACTAGTAAATCAAAGTCACTCTTCTGCTTAAATCCCTTTAATAGCTTTTCACGGTACTTCAAGTCCAAACTTCTAACAGTGACACAAAACCTCATGTGACTTGGTCCCTACCTAGTTTTCCAACATCAGCTTAACACCCTTGTCCTACTACTGTGTATGCATTTAGTTCCTAGTGCCGTGTCCCCTCTGACCGCAGGGCCTCTGCATGTGCTGTTCTCACCTTCTGCAATCTCTTCCTCCCACTCGTGGCATGGAAGTCCCCTTTCCATCATTCAGATCACAGTTTAGACTCTATTTTTTTTTTTTTTGGTACATGCCCCTAGTGGGAACCGAACCTGGGACTCTCTGGTCCGCAGGCCGACGCTCCAACCGCTGAGCCAAACCGGCTGGGGCCAGATCGCAGTTTAAATGTTACCTTCTCAGAATCTGTCCCTAATCACTCTATCTAAAGTAGAATAACTCCCCCTTTATTTTCTATTATATACCCTGTTTCTGTAGTACTTATACTTTTATAACAGTTCCCACTAGACTGTAAGCTTCTTAACTGAAGAACCAAATCTGCTTTGCCTACCACACGATTACAGTGCCTACAGATTCTTTTATAGTAAGTATCACTGATTAAATACATGTATGAATGCATCAATGAATGAATAAGTGAATTAATTCATCAGTTTCTGAGGGATGAATGCCGGCCCTGGGAACACCAGAGACAACCTTGCAGCCACCTTGTCCCTGAAACTCTGCTCAAGGGGACATACCTGAAATGCTGAGAAGAGTGGTTGGGTCCAAGCGCTGTTTCTGCAGCTGTAGAACCTGCCTCTGCGCTTGACAGCTCCTCGGAGGGACCAGCAGAACTAGTGACATCTTCCTCTTTCTTGAGCTCTGGGGGCTGAGGCTTTCCTCCTGGACTTTCAGGCCCCAAAGATAATGGGTCCCCCTTCTTAGGGTCTGAAGTTAGGGCTGGTCTCATGGAGCTTTCTTGCTCCCCAACACAGGCATTTCCCAATGCGCTGGCAGCAAGTGTCTCCTTGCACTCCGAGTCCACAGTTACAGGGCCTGGAGGCTTAGGAGGAATTGAAGTCGGGGGCCCCAGAGCTCTGTGGGAGGGGATGCAAGCCAGTTTGGGGGGAAGCGAATCATCTTTTATTTCTGAGAGTGGCTCTGCTTCTGTGGGCTCCCCTTCCCTTCTCTGTACATCCTCCTGGGGGGTGGGGAGGCCCTGACGAGGCAGTGGGTCAGCTTCCTTGACTACCTGCTCTGATGGCACCATGGAGGACTCCCGCCTCTCCCTACTCAGGGGTGCTTGAGCCGGCTCAGAACTGCCTGAGACTGACTGCTGCTGGGGAGATCTCGGAAGTTGCTCTTCTTCTTCCTCTCCTTCTTCTTCTTCATTGCTGCTCTCTCCCTTCTCTTGTTCATGTTGGTTTAACAGCTGAAGAGTCACCATCTGTTCAAAGGCCAAGGAGGAGAGGATCACTGAGAAGAAATCAGCAGGCACTTCTAGTTCTTCAAACCTTATTAACACACTGGTCATCTAGTTCAAATGACTGCTTCTTCCTCTCACAGGAGGCTGCCCGGATCTGTCCAGATACAAGTTATTCCAGGCGTCCAAGGTGAATAGTCTTGAATCATTTTTTATTCACAACCCCTTAGAAGAGTGGTTCTCAACCTTCCTAATGCTGCGACCCTCATTTGTGGTGACCTCCAACCATAAAATTATTTTCGTTGCTACTTCATAACTAATTTTGCTACTGTATCAGGCAACCCCTGTGAAAGGGTCGTTCGACCCCCCAAAGGGGCCGCAACCCACAGGTTGAGAAACACTGCCTTAGAAGGTACTTAAGCAATGAGATACCCATTTCAATGCAACAATCTGCAGCTGGCTGTACCTTGATGGTATTCATGATGGTTCCCAGAATGGTCCTACCATTGTAAGATTCCTCCAGCCCAAACTCTCCCCGCAAGGACTGGAACACCTGGTTCATGATCTTCTTGACCTGAGGAGAGAAAAATAGTATCAAAATGTATGCTGCCCAAATCAAGTGATGAAAGAATGCAAGTAAATTCCAGAGAGTGTTTGGAAGGCTAAAATCAAGCTTTCTTAGAACTCTGCAACAGGACACAGCTGGTTATGAACTCAGACACAAAGGCAGTCACTGTGCAGAGGACAATGCCAAATAACGAGCTGCACTTGACGGAAGGTCTATCAAGGACGGGTAAGCTGTGGTTTATGTGCCCAAGACAGCATATGGACTATTTATTATGCCCCCCTCCCACGGTGACCACCACCGGAGCTACCGTGGGCTACCAGGATTAGTGGCTAGTAGATGCTGGGCACACTCCCCACTGTTCTCCTGTGATTTAGAGGCACTTCCCACATTTGTCAAAACTTCAGGGTAGGGTCCTTAGGGTTTACCACCAAAGCAACAGGTTCCAAAGGGTTAACTCATACTTAAGTCAGACAAGTGGTGCATCACTAAAGTTAGGAAAAAAAGGTATTGACACAACAAATGAGCCCCATTCTTTCTGAATGCCTGGTATGACATGGTTTGCTGCTGCTTCAAATTACCAGCTCACCTTTTCTGATGAGTCAGCAGTAACTTCAACCCCAGACATCTGGGACTTGTTTTTCTCCAGGTCCTTGATGTGCTGTTCATTTTGCTCTGTCAGGGTTGTGACTTGGGCCTGGAGGGCTAAACACTGCAAAAAGAACAGATTGTGGCTGTGGGCTCGGGAACTGGACTACCAGGTGCCAGTCAGGAAACCCAGTAGGAGAACTGCCGTAAGCATCAAGTGTCAACTTCATCTAGGTCTGCTGGTGTCCACACCCTTCACCCCCACACCCCAAGCCTGCTGACTCAAAGCATCTATTTCCTCATCATTCAATTTCAACTCACAACTTCACCTCCTCTTTCCCAACAAGGTCACCTGCCTTGTTCCTAATCAGGTCAAGAATATAATTTTTAAAAAGGGGGTTATAACTCTAGTCACATAGACATATGAACATTGGACATTAGAAGCAACATATTCATCTACAAGACTGCCTTCACCATCTTTGAGTCAAAGATTTTCAACTGGATACTTTAAGAAAAGAAACTGAACTCCAGATATAGGGACTTGCATACCATGACCCAAGGCCATCTCTCTCTCTCTCTCATTTTTATGCCAGGATGATTCCCCCCCACTCACGTCCCATCCTATCTCAGTGCTTTTGCCCAGAGCATGCTGTTGCCTTTTCACCTCAGCACAGCTACTTGTCCTTCTTGGCATATTTCTCCTGGGCACTTCCCCTTCTGGGCCTTACAGAACTTAATGCTCATCTTTGCTGCTCTCGTCTCCTTTTCTTTTTTATTTTTCTTTTTCCTCTTTTAGTCCTCACCTGAGGATATTTTTCTTTTTATCATCAGATAGAGTGGGAGGGAGGGAGAGATAAACATCAATGTGAGCGAGACACATCGACTGGTTGCCTCCCACACAACCCGACCAAGGCCAGAGACAAACTGCAACCGAGGTATGTGCCCTTTTTGGGAATCGAACCTGTGACTCATTGGTCTGTAGGCTGACGCTCTACCACTGAGCCAAACCAGCCAGGGACTGTCTCCCTTCTTGACTGTGACATTTTTGAGGGCAGAGTTCTTTGAAAGTCCTTTCCTTAACACAGTGTCTGGAACACAACTGGTATTCAATACATACTCATGTAATAAAAGAAGGATCCAATAATAATGGAAAACATATTCCAGAATACTAGTGTTGCTTTTTCTTTTTACAGGTCACTCACCTGCCATCCCAAATAAATACATGAAAGATTACTGTGTAATTTTGTTTTCAAGCTATTGACATCTTTAGTTTCAGAAGAAACTACAAGACACAAACAATCTCCTTGTCTCAAATTAACTGGGCTGCCTAAGCTGTTCTGCCTCAGGAAAAACGCCTACCTTTTCCTGAAGTTGGAGCAGCTTTTGCTGGCTGGTGTCTCTCTGTGCACACACCTCCTGATATTGTTGCAGGTGTTCATCCTTGGCAGAGGCCAGCAAGTGTTCACATTTTGCTTCCCAGTGGGTCTTCAGTTCAGCCTGTACTAGAGACAGCTGCCAAGAAAATGTAATCACTGTATCCTGGGGGCCCAACTGCATCTAGAGAAACTCATCTTTTATAAGGCAAAACCAAGAAGCTAACAGCCCAGCTTCACAAGGAAACAAATATTTGGAAGACCTTGGTTACCTCTGTAAGTAAATGTACCTTTTTAAGGTAAGTAAGATGATGTCAGGACTCCAAAAGGTACTCCAAGCAGATAAAAAAGCATGACTGTCTTGCCACTATCCCTGGTTTTCCTGCCTGATTACTCATATACATCCCTTTTTTTGAAGGGTAATAATGTGTCCGAAAGATGATATCTGGTGGTTGAAGACTTTAAACTTAGCATCCTTGAAATTTTTTTATAAAGACTTTTTTTTCCACTAAGTTTAAAAACAGAAGATGATTTCTGCCTCTTTTGCATATGCAGGGATGGGCAGAAGTAGGTTTACAGTTGTGAGTGTGAGAAAGTTTATTATTTATTAATTATTGTATTACTTATTTGTATGATTGGTCTTATTTTTATTGTTACTATTTTGTATCCTTCAATATGATTTATCTTTTAGGTAATGATGGCTGGTAATTTAACCTACTTTTGCCCACCCCTGTATTTGAATTATATTCTCCCACCTTTCTCCAAAGTGAGAGTGCTGACTATGAGAAATGTCATAAAGGATAAAGAAGAAACTAGAAACTTTTCTGAGTCCTTCATGCCTTCCTCTCATTTCCAACGTGCTCAGGTTCCCATTACCTGCTCTGCAGCTGCTTGGTCTGTGGACACCCGAGCCTTTTTCAAGAGCTGCCGAAGTTTGTCCAATTCCTCCTGATATGATTTGCGAATTTCATCTATCTCCTCTTCAGCCTGACAGCGCTCTTGAGCTGACTTCTTTTTCCTTTCTGAGAGGCTCTTAGGAACAAGAGAACCATCATCAGCTCTAGCTGTTTAACAGAGGATACATGGAGATGGTGGTGGTGGTGACTGATCTCACTGGGTCCTTACTTCATTTCTGGATACAATGTATTACTTAGTTTAATTTTCCCTATTTATTTACCATTCTTGGCTGCTGGGTGAGAAAAACTGTGACAAGGAGGTTTAACTACAATTCTATTAAGAGGTGGGGAACATCTCAACAGTGAAGTGGACATGTTCACACCCTGCTGACAGAAAAATAAATGGGTATACTCTCTTTAGATAGCAATTTCGAAGTCCTATAAAAAGATTTCAGCCCGACTGGTACGGCTCAGTGGTTGAGTGTTGACCTCCGCACCAAGAGGTCACTGGTTTGATGCTGCGTTGGGGCTCGATCCCTGTAGGAGGGGTGCGGAGGCAACCAATCTATGTTGATGCTTCTTCTCTCTCTCATCAATGTTTCTATCTCTCCCTATCCCTTCCTCTATCTAAAAAAATCAATAAAAAACATTTTTTAAAAAATCTCAAAATGTGCACACCCAGAAATTCCACAAATTATAATTTATCTTAAGGAAATAATAGATCATGTTCATAAAGACTGTGTGTTACAAAAGATCTATAACAATGAAAAACTGAAAACAGCCAAAAATCAGAATGAATTGGTTTTAAGCTCTGGCCCGTTTGGCTCAGCGGTTAGAGCGCTGGCTTGCGGACCAGAGAGTCCTGGGTTCGGTTCCCACTGAGGGCACGTGCCTTGGTTGCAGTTTGTCCCCAGCCCTGGTTGGGGTCGTATGGGTGGCAACCACTTGATGTGTCTCTCTCACATTGATGCTTTTCTCTCCCTTCCTCCCTCTCTCCCTCCCGCTCTATCTAAAGATAAATGCAAAAATGTCCTTGGGTGAGGATAAAATAAATAAATAAATATTTTAAAAGTAGATAAAAATCATAGAAAAAACTAAAAATGGAGCCCAAGATTTATCCCCTAAAAGGCACTAATCCAAAAGGGCTTAACTACAGAGTTTTATTGAAACTTCAGGAACAGTTTGTTCTTTTTGTATTTAAACCATTCCAGAAAGAAAAAAAAATCAGAAATATTCCCACTTTGTTCAACGGGGCTGAAATTACCCTGATATTAAAATTTTAACACAACAAAAGATACTATAAATAAAGTTTTAAAACAGAAAAACCCTTAATAGCGTTTACAAATCAAATATAATAGGAAAGAGGGCACAAAAGAAATACAAATAGGTATTAAATATATGAAAGCTTGACTACTAACAAAAACATATATTAAAACAAGATAATATATATCACTTGTCAGACTATGAAGATTAAAAAAATTGATATATGCAGATTTGGAGAAAGGATGGAGAAACAGGTTTGTTCACATAGTACTGGAAGTATAAGCCAGTGCACCCTGCTTTATGATAACTTGGCAATATTTATTTAAAAAATTTGGATGTGTAGCATTTCCTCTGATCTAGCAATTCTAATTCAAACAATCCATTTTATGGGAATGCTCAAATAAATTTGCAAAAATAGTTATATGGTATAAGGCTGTCCAAAGCAGCAATGCTTGAAATAGTGAAAAAACAGATACATAAATATCCATCAACAGGTGAAGAGTTAAGTAAATTATGGTCGTCTCATAGTAGACTACTATGCAGCAGTTAAAAAGAATGAGAAAGTTCTCATTGTTATTAGTACAATGTCCAATGTTGTGGAAAAGCATTAAATATGATCCCATTGTTGTTAAAAAATGACATCAGTGTAGCTATGTGTGGGAGACCGTTTGCATGGCATCCATCTTGTTAAAGTCTGCTCTGCTGTCTCCGGCCCCAGGGCGGGGTCTCTCCGCATGCCGTGCCTCTCCGCGTGCCGTGCCTCTCCGCGTGCCGTGCCTCTCCGCGTGCCGTGCCTGCATTCCTCTAGATAATTGTTTGCTCCGTTCTTTGCTTATCATTTGTTCCACCTGGGGTGTTTGCTGGGGTTGGCTTCAGGTGGGATGCTCAATGGCTGTTTCACGTGTTTTCCCCCTATATATAATGTGAACTTCCCCTGAATAAACGAGACTTGATCAGAATCCTGTCTTGTCTCCATTTCTCGTGTCTCTTGTCCCACCTCATCCTCACTCCCCCTCTAGAGTCCTCGTTGATCGACCTGCGGGCCGGGTCAGCTATGTGTATATATGTATGAGTGAGTGTATATGTATGTTTTATACACACAGAAAACAATCTAGAAGGATAATCACACATTATTTATAGTTGTTACCACTAACACATGAGATTAGACAGGAGAAAAAGATAAATTTTACTTTATTTTATCCTTCTCTGTCTTACTTATATACTATTGTAATCTTGAAAAGGAAAATAAAAGTGTGTATTAAACAGCTAATTCGCCCCTGGGGTTCAACAGAGAAACTTTGGTTGTAAAACCTACCTTTTCCAGAGATTCCTTCTCAGCTCGGAGGTCAGCCAGCTCTTCTTCCAGTGCTGTCATCCTGAGTTCCAGTTGCCTCCGGCTTTGCTTTTCACTTTTGAATTTGGACTGTGCTTGCTCAGAGGTTTCTTGGAGCTCTGGGATATATGAGCAGAGAGACTTAGGTGCAGAGCCAGAGCTTTAGTGGGTTATACAGCATCCCAGAAGCTGCTTCTTCAAAGCTGCCTTCTATGATCTTCCAATCCTACCACACAAGCATCTTCCCAATTACTTTAGTATCACCTCACTGACCAGTAATAGGTTCATCAAGCCATATAATGACTCCTCCACTAACCCATATTTATCTCTGTATGTATATGTCACTTTCCACACATACAAAATGGGAAAGTTGCAAGCAGTCAGAGACCACCTTAAAAATATGTCACTCGCCTGACCAGTGTGGCTCAGTGGATTGAACATGGTCCCATGGACTGAGAGGTCTTGGTTCGGTTCCCAGTCAGGGCACATGGCCAAGGAGGCAGCTGATCAATGTTTCTCTCTCACATCAATGTTTCTCTCTCCCTTCCTCTTTAAAAAAATAAAAAAATAAAAAAAATAAAATAAAAACTTAAAAAAATATATATACACATATATATTTATATCACTCGCACAATTCCATTCTAGTCACCATCTCAGCACACTGGACAGATCTATTCATCCAGCCCTTTCTTGCTGCCTGGGTAAAATATTCTCAAGTTTCTTGGTAGCTAGGACATTCTACAAGGATTTGCTTTCAAAATATCCCTTTCTCAAATAAAGTTATTTGAAGTATCTCTTAAAAATGTAATGAATCAATATTTATTTTGTTAGGAAAACTTTTGAGACCCTATGGTACTCTTGAGGTAATTGTCACAGGACACCACAGAAGCAGAAAAAATAACTGTATGACATTCAAATCTAAGCCTATCTCTCATATGCACCCAGGTTATGTTATGCTCTGAAGGAAAAAATTTATCTTCAAGATATCACTGTACCAATTGACATCAGTGTTCTTTAGCTATAAGACAGTGTACTTGGCTTCTTCCCAACTCTGCGACTGCTCCAGCTACACCACCGGTCCCATGTGTGTCTTCCCAGTTTGTTTCTATACACTGAGGGGGATAAATCAACATGCTGGTCTTCTATTCAAGTCACCATGGCTTGAGTACCACCCTTTGTGCCAGGCACTGAATTAACACTAATTTTGAGGAAAGAACTTTACAAAGATGAGCAAGACACCACCCTTTCCCTCTAAGGGCTTGCATTCTAGAGGGAAAGACATGCATATAAATAGTGCTGATCAAAGGCAACATGTGAGAATGGTAGTAATAATGTCTGAGAGAAATAATTTTAAAGAAGATCAATTGTAGGGAAAAAAGCAACAAGAAAATCTTCTGAAAGAAGGAGATTTTGGGGGGAAAAATAGAGACAAATATCGGTGATGGTGGGCACACCAAGTCCAGAGAACAGCATGGATAAAAAGCAAGACAAGAACAGCAGATGTGCTGAAGAGTAAAGAGTAGAGCCAGGATAAACTGAGCAACATAATGGGAAATAAGCCAAGCTGAAGGGGCCTTGAGTGCTGGCTAAAGAGTTGCTATCCGTTTTCTAAGAAAGAGGCAACCAGTACAAGAAGCATCTATTTCATAAACTTCCACTGTGTCGTGAGTTATAGGAACTCTCTAACTTCCAGGCCTCTGAGGACAATTGTAAGTACCAAAGATACTGAAGGCAACACTTGTTCAAACAAGTGGAACTGTAGCCACTGACCAACTCTAAATGAATTGTCAGTTCTTTTGTTGTCCTTTATATCAAACCATCACATAGGTTATACTCGCCCACCTCAATGTTTGGCTGTCTTCACAAACTTCATAAGCATTATGCCAGACGTATCGAGAGGAAAGGAATAGTTTTCATTCCTTAAGTTTAAGTGGTCAAAGTTAGCCCTCTCCACAAAGGACATACCTGAGAGCTCAGCCTGCAGTTTGGTGAGTTGGCCCCTGAGGAGGTCTGTCTCCTTCAAGCTTTCTGTCAGCTGCATCTGCAGCTCTGTTTCTTTCTTTTGGTAAGCAGTCATTTTCAGCTGCAGATGAGAGACCTGTGCAGTGGCTGCTGCTAATTCTTCTGTCACCTTGGCCTGGAGAGTAACAAAGTATGATGTCACTTTAAACAAAGGCATTCTTTGTCTCTAAGTGATGACCCAACCTCACATACTCTATGCTGACTGAATTGAAAGGAAGGGAGCTAAGCCCGTCCTCAACCTGCATTGAACTAAAATTAAGCCTTCCAAATGTACAAAATGTCTGACTCAGGTATTCCCTTGCAGAAATTTGTCCTTAGGAAATATTTTGAAGACTACAAAACTTTTGCTACCATGATGTTTAACATAGCATTCTATATAGTTGCAAAAAAATGAAAAAATAAAATACTAAAAAATGGGCTTGATTAAACAAATTATTATGCACCTATCCTGCATGTAACTATTAAGAATGGGATTGTCTGCCATGGCTGGTTCAGCTCAGCAGTTAGAGTGTCAGCCTGTGGACCAAAGAGTCGTGGGCTTGATTCTGGTCAAGGGCATGTACCTTGGTTGTGGTTCGGTCTCGGGACCTGATGGGGTTGTGCAGAAGGCAACCAATCAATGTGTCTCTCTCACATCGATGTTTCTCTCTCCCTCCCTGCCTCCCACTCTATCTGAAGATAAATGGAAAAATACCTCGTGTGAGGATTAAAAAACAAAAAGAATGTGGTTGTCAAAGAATATTAGTGGCATGTGATACGGTCACAACCTACTGGTAAATGTTATCAATCCGATACATAAAAACAGGTATTCCTACCATTTTCTAACTTTTCTACAACGTGTATTTTTAAAATAAAAAATAATATTAAAAAAAAAAAGTTTTTTTATCCTCACCCGAGGACACTTTTTTGCATTTATCTTCAGATAGAGCTGGAGGGAGAAAGGGAGGAAGAGAGAGAGAGAAATATCAATGTGAGAGAAACACATATAGAGTGGCTGCCACCCACACGGCTGGGGCCGGGGACAAACTGCAACTGACATACATGCCCTTAGCGGGAACCAAACCTGGGACTCTGGTCCACAAGCCAATGCTTCTAACCACTGAGCCAAACCAGCCAAGGTGATATGTAAAAATTTTAACTGAACATCTTCAAAGGCAGTTTCTGCCTAGCAGTACTGCACTACTAGTAGTACTATAATGTAAAGGTCAGTCCCATTAGAGTTACTGCTTTGGGGGTTCTTACAAAACAGAGCCAATAAAAGAAGGGAAGGTATCAGCTTTTTTGACTGCTTAATGTATGTTAAATGGTGCTATGTATCAGCCAAATGGAAGCAAAATATTCATTTTTCAAAAATACCTTGGAAAGTCCTCTAATGCTATTCTATGTATTAAGGGTGATAAAAAAAAATGGTGATTAAAAGAATGTCAATAAAGCCCTGGCCGGTTTGGCTCAGCGGTTAGAGCGTCGGCCTGCGGTCCGGAGAGACCCGGGTTCAGTTCCCGCTAAGGGCACGTGCCTTGGTTGCAGTTTGTCCCCGGCCCTGGTTGGTCGTGCGGGTGGCAGCCACTCGATGTGTCCCTTCACGTCGATGTTTCTCTCACTCTCTCTCTCTTCCTCTCTCTCCCTCCCACTCTATCTGTACAAAAAATGGGAAAATATCCTCGGGTGAGGATAAAATAAAAAAGAATGTCAATAAAAAGGAATGTTAAACAAATGACAAATACCATATTAATTTCACCTGAACTGATGTACTCCTATAAAAATTAGAAGTCAGACAACAGGAAAGGCAGTAAGTGGTTGCTCCTCTATTGACTAGTCTTGATTTTTGGGCAGCAATGCATTTTTGGGGTTGAACCATCTCTCCAGTACTATTATATTACTACTACCATTACTGCTCTTATACTTTACATGCATTTTTATAGCTGTCTACATTCTTATTATCATTCCTTACGGTAGTCACTGTGCCCACTGTAGTTTTAAATGTATTTATTTAAACAATGCTCAGAGAGTTTTGCATATATCTGTGGCTCGAAGTTCTATGTCAGACTGAAGACCACTCACATAAGCCCCATAGCAGCTACGACCACCAGAGAAGAGGCAGTGGGATCAATGATCACTCTCTCACCAAAGGACAAGCAGAGTGGAAGGTCACTCAAAAGCTCTTCTTATCTCAGGACCATATATAGAAAAACCTATCAGAAGCATGAAAAGTAATATTCTCACCCAAACATACACATACCTACACAGAGAAAACAGTGACGGGATGAATATTACATTAACAATGGTTTTCTTTGAGTGGGAAGACTATGGGCAAGTTATATTTTATGCTTGCTTATCTCTTATCTAAATTTTCTAGAATGAACAAATGCAACTTTTGTTATCAGAAAGAAGTATGAGTGAATGCATATATGTATGCGCAGACGTGTGTGTATAATTACAAATTTTTTAAAGGGTTTGCAATATCAGATGAGAAGAAAAAACATCAAAAACCTATAAAGTAGATGGGATGGCTCCCTGGTTCCCACCCTGGATCAAATTCTGCTGTTGACATGGACAGCTGGGAAGAGAAATCAACAAGAGGAGAACTAAGAAAAACAAGTTTAAAAAAAAGCACTCAAGTTTGGAGGAAAATGGTACCAAAAAGAGATAGTAATTTCACAAAAGAAAAAGAACATAGGTGACTAGAAGTGAGACCCTGGGCAAGTCTTTTACTCTCTTTGAGCCTCAGTTTGCTCTTTTGTAAAGTAAGGTTAACTAGATGACCTCTACTAGCTCTTCCAGTTTTAACCATTATCCCATGGTTTTATGTGGAAATATTAATATTGTCATAGAAAAAAATAAATAATTTCATTTACCAAATATTCACTGAGCATTTAACCATAAGTTTCCGAGCTGTGTTTGAAACAGAAAACTGCCTCCAGAGATGAAAGGACCTCATTACCTCCCTTTATGAGGACAGATAGCACAGGGAAGACTGCTAAGTAAGAAAGAAGTGGAAATGGGAAGAATCAAGCTTTGAAAAGTTTCACTGTAAAGATAACGTGTGGTACTTGGTACCTGACTCATCAAAAAGTGATAACTCAACCCAGGAGATGCCTTCAGATAGATTTGTGTGAAGCATGGTGCCTAGTGAGTGTTTGCCAGATGTTAGCTGTTATTACTGTTTTTGTTATTATAAATAGAGTATCTACCAGTATCAGTGCACTGTGCCAGACATTTTTGGAGTTTAACAATATGAAACATTTGGGTAGATTAATAAGGTAATTCAGGTGTTGTCAAAGTATGACCTGTAGGCAAATTGACCTGCTGCCTGTGTTTATAAATAAAGTTGTAGTCGAACAGACACACACACACTGATACTTAAGATGAGAATCATACGGTAAACTTACCAAAATCAAAGGTGTCCAGCTGGCACCACCATAGATTGTGGCAAAACAAATTAGTAATAAGAGCAGTGATTCCTTACTTGGTTGTGTATCAGAATTAAGGCCAGCATTTTATTTTTTTTATCCTCACCCGAGGACATTTCTCCATTTTTTGTTCAGAGAGAGTGGAAGAGAGAAAGAGAGAAACATCGACGTGAAAGGGACACATCGAGTGGTTGCCACCCACACGACCAACTAGGGCCGGGGACAAACTGCAACCGAGGTACATGCCCTAAGCGGGAACCGAACCTGAGTCTCTCTGGACCGCAGGCCGACGCTCTAACTGCTGAGCCAAACCAACCAGGGCAAGGCCAGCTTTTTAAAAGTTAAGATTTAGATCCTGGCTAAAAATATGCTGAATTAAACTCTTAAGGTGAGGTTTAAGAATAAGTATTTTTAATCAAGCCCCTCAAGTGATTCTGAGATTGCTTAACCAATGTTTGGAAACCCCTGATCTAGAACAAGTTATAGTAATCATTTTAGACCTGAATTGTGAGACCAACCAATATATCTGGATGCTCCTGCAGGGACTAATGAGGAGGAGGAGAAGGAGGAGGAGAAGGAAGAAGGAAGAAGAAGAAGGAAAGAAAAAGAAGGAGGAGGAGGAAAGGAAAGGAAAGAAAAAAATTAATTAAAAGAAGGAGAAACAGTAAAACATGGGGAGTGATGAAGTGACTCCAATACCGCTGAACTGATCTAGGCACAGGAGTCAGCCACAACAAACACAGGATGGTGAAAAGTAGCAATGGGAAACAATCAGGACTGGACAGGACTGTGCAGGGCAAGGCATTGCTTATTTGAGGATATGGATAATATGCCTAAGAGAACACAAAGAATAAAAGCATGACATGTAAGTAAGAAATCGTCATCATAACCAGAAGATGAGAAAGTGAGTCAACTCCACAAGTTCTAAAGTGCATTCCATTCCATTTTTCATGTTTTTAAGGAAAATTCAAATACAAAATATCAACTATTTCTTAACCTCTGAGAAAAGAGCAGAAGAAAGGATTGAGAGCTCCCAGCTGAAGCGTGATGGCGTAAACAAGAAGGACTCTACCCCAGTTAAACAGTGTCACTGGAACAAGAACAGGAGGATGAGCGTCAGAATCGGTGGATTCCAGCCCAACAACCACTAGAGACTTCTTTATAGCTACTCCAGAAACAGGCTGAAATTTCTAATTCTGAGCTGACTGAAGTCAGACAGCAGTACAGTCTTTAAAATGCTCTGGCAGACACAGAAGAGGAGCAAACCAAACAATTTTAAATTTCACTGAAACATTTGTTACACAGCACAACAGGAATTTTCTATCGATTCTGTCAACAGAATAAATTTAGTTTGTAATAAGGTGCATAATTCCTACCTTAAATTACTAAGATCAGTGATTGTTTCTGAGTCAACTTACTGCAAAGTATATTATATAACAGATGTCTGGATAACGGGTATATTAAAATCTATTGGAAGATTTCTAGGTCTCTTCCCAATGATAGCAAAAATTCTAATGAAAAGCAGATTGGTAAGTACGTACACAGGACTACTCCTTGGATCTACGCATCCTGACCTGACCTTTTCTCTCCCATTACTTTACCTTCTCTTGCTCAGCATGCAATACTCTTGCCTGTGTATTTTCTGTGGCTGTTTGAAGTGAGTTGTTCCTCTTCTCCATCATCAGGTTACTCTGCTCAACATACCTATGAAATAAATAGGGAGAGAGAAAACATTTATCAAGCACCAAATATATTCCAGGTGGGGCATCCATTCAGTCCTCGTAACACTGCTCTATATCTTCATGAAAAACAATGTGAAGGCATTTTGTTTCTCTTAGAGCTGCAAGTAATCAGGTTTGGAGGCAGGTGAACTGCTTTGAATTTGCATGAAGAAGAAGAGAGACATTGGAAGGGTGTGTGGTGAGAGGGGATGAGAAGGCAGAAGCGACTGAAGTAAAAAGGCTCCAAGGAGGGAAGAAAAGCAAGCCACTCCTTGGCCCCCTTCCACGTGAGAGACAAGAGACACCAAAGAAGAGGAATATGGGAGAATGATTTTTTTAAGTGAAACACTATATGCTATGACATGTATCCCTGACCTCAGCTCCCTCAAATCTTCTGAAGGATCTAGAAAAATTACAAAATACTTGGGTTGTATATGGAAATCAATGAAGTTCTGGTTGATTAAATAGATTCAGCCTAAACAGAAGAGAAAGAAGAGTTGCTACCAGTTTTCTAAGTGTTAACACTACTTTTATGGATGCAGAAACTAGGGCCACTAGGAATAAATACAATGCCCAAAGTCAGGTAACAAATGAAGAGCAAAGCTGGGATTCAAACATAGGTCTGCCTTACATCACAGCTTACTGAGCTCTTTCTAAAGAAATACCTCTCAGAAAAGCAATAATTCTCATGACAGGCAGAAAAGAGAAATACAAGAAATACAGATAAACTGCCCTAAACAAACATGTTTACTTAAATTGGTCATTTATAAATTAAACCCTTTTGTCCATCCTAGCTAATGCCCCGTACCTGTCATTACCTCTGATTTCGTTCAATTAGTTCACTAATCTTGTCATTCTGTTCTTCTATCCGACTGCTTTTCTCAAGGATCTCTTGCTTCAATCTTTCATTTTCCTGAATTCAAAATGTATGATATATAACTTAAGTTTTTAAGAGAAAAGTTCTAGATAAAAGGGAATCAACTTGAACAGTTGATACTATTTTGAGCAAAAAAACTAGAACTTACGTCCATACAGATATAATAATTAAAACAACATATCAAATTATATCTGATGGCTACAAATGCCCAATAAACATATAAAAGGCTATAAAATAAAGTAGAATTCTAGAGTGGGGTCAAAGAGAAATGTTTCCTCCTAACTATATAGTGATAAGTCACTTGGACCGAATTTAGCCATATGGAGTTTCCAGAATTTCCCAACTCAGTGTAGCATTTATCACATGCTCTCTATTTCCGGAGTGGAGGTTTTAAAGGGTAGCACATCTCGGGAAAGAGCAGGGGCAAGATCTCCAGGCTGAGTGTCCCGTTCCTGATCACCTCACCTGAATAATTCGCTGGATGTTGCTCATAATCATCCTTGTTTCCATTGTAACTGACATGCTGGGAACGAGCAGGGAATTGCCAGCACTGTGCTTCTGCAACTCTTCCACCTACAAAAGGGGTGCCAGAAAGACTGTGAGAATTTTATTTTTTATTCCAGATATTTCTCCTTTTTGCCCCACTTGACACCCTCCTCCTGACACACACCCCCCCCCCATACACACACAGGATTATTGTCTATGGACTGTGAAAAATGTTTAAATGGAGAAATCTAAGGTACCCAAGATAGAACCACTTTTTTGAGGGGGCTAATGAGTTTCTGAGACAACATCTAAAGTAAGCTGGAGTTTTCTTCTGTTAACTGGATCCCAAAATATCTATCCTTCTAGGGAAATAACTACTATAAATATAGGAAACCAAGGAAGAGTTTATCCACAGTTTTGGTTGCTCCCTATTTGTATCTACTGCTTGTATCTACTTTCAACACAGCCCCCAACCTGACTCAGTCACCTTAGTCATGAGATGATCCATTTTATCAGCCACTTTGCTGACTGCCATTCGGATTTCAGTATTATGCTGTCGGGCTTCAGTTATGAGATATGAAGCCATGTCACCAGATCCTAAATGGAGATAAGTCAAAAAGAAAATTACGAAACTGCTTATAAGGATGCTCAATGAACTTAGTGAGAACCTCAGTGAATTTAGTGAGGGCCTCAAGAGCATAAAAAAGGACCAGTCAGAAATGAAGGATGCACAGTCAGAAATAAAGGAGGCACTAACTGAAATAATGAATAATTTACACAGATTCAATAGTAGAGTAGGTAAAGCCAAGAAGCAAACCATCGATTTGGAATATAAAGAAGCAAAAAACACCCAATCAGAACAGCAAAAAAAAAAAGAATCTGGGACAACTTCAAATGTGCCAACATTCGCATCTTGGGGATGCCAGAAGGAGAAGAGAGAGAACAAGAAATTGAAAACCTTTTTGAAACAATAATGGCAGAAAACGTCCCTAACTTGGTGAAGGAAACACATACAAGTCCAGGAAGCACAGAGAGTCCCAAACAAGATGAATCCCAAGCGGTCCAAACCAAGACACATCATCATCAAAATGCAAAAGGTTCAAGACAAACAGAGAATCTTAAAAGCAGCAAGAGAAAAGCAGTTAGTTACCTACAAGGGAGTTCCCATAAGACTGTCAGCTGATTTCTCAAAAGAAACTTTGCAGGCCAGAAGGGAGTGGCAAGAAATATTCAGAGTGATGAAAAGCAAGAACCTACAACCAAGATTACTCTATCCTGCAAAGCTGTCATTTAGAATCGATGGCCATATAAAGAGTTTCCCAGACAAGAAAAAGTTAAAGGAGTTCATCACTACCAAACCATTATTAGATGAAATGTTGAAGGGTCTTTTTGAAGAAAAAGATAAAATATATGAACAAACAAAATGGCAATAAATACATATCTATCAACAATTGAATCTACAAACAAAATGAACAGGCAGAACAGAAACATTCTCATAGATACAGAGAACATTTTGTTGGTTGCCAGATGGGAGGGGGGGTTGGGAGAATGGGTGAAAAAGGTGAAGAGATTAAGAAGTACAAATTGGCTGCTAGACTGACAAACCTCAAAGAGAAGGGAGTTAGGGGGTGGGAAGAGATAAACCAAAGAACTTATATGCATAATCAATGGACACAGACAACAGTACAGGAAAAGGTAGGAGAGGGGCGGGAGTGGGGAGAAGGGGGTCAATAAGGGAAAAATAAGGAACATCTGTAATACATGCAACAATAAAGATTAAAAAAAAAAAAAGGAACAAAATTACCAAACTGGAGCAGAGGACATTGTAAGAGAAAAAGCCAACAGCTCTCTCAGCAGAGCAAAAAGAGAGAGACATTTCCAAATACTAAGAAATGCTGTACATGATTCACATTTCAGGAGAAGTTGTAGGACAGAAGCAAAAGGACTCCAAAGCTTATAATAACTAAGCTATGCTCCTGAAAAATGCATCGGGGGATACAGTCTGGTTCAAGGACACAAGTATGCCTACTTTGGTCTGCCATAGCACTAGCAGCTCAGATTGTTTCTCCATTCATCCAGCTCGTGCCAGGCACTGTTATCAGGTACCAGGGACACAGCAATGAATAAAACCCAGTTCCTGCCCTTGGTGAGCTCACAGTCTGACGGGAAGAGACTCACATGTAAACAGATCATTACAACAGAATGTTTTAAGTGCAAAAAATGGACCATGTACAAGGTACAAAAGGGCCCAGAGAAAAGCAAGATTAACTCTTTGGTGACATATCCATAATTACACCTCTTGGAGGAGAGGAAGTAGAGACAGTAACAATCAGGGAAGGCTATATAGAGGAAATGACAGATTTCATGGTTTCCTGGATGGAGAAAGGGCAAGGATTCCAGACAAAGGCTACATCCAGGAAATCCATAAATTATGTTCTAGGATATACTTGCTTCTTCCAACCATTATCCTAATGGCAAAGATGATTATTACACAAAACAAAAGCTACAGAACAAGAAGGTAGGATACCATCCCAGCTGTTTACATTTTATTTTGTTTTGTTTTATACACAAGACAGCCACACTTGTACATGCATATAAGAGATCTGAAAAGTTACCCAAGTAACTGTTAGTAACAGTTTCCTATAATTAGGGGGTTTAAATGATGGAGGACTGTACTTTTCACTTTACACCCTTTTGCATTGTTTGGCTGTTTTTTGTTTGTTTTTTTTTGTTGTTTTTTTTTATCCTCACCCAAGGATATTTTTCCATTTTTTGTACAGATAGAGTGGGAGGGAGAGAGAGGAAGGAGAGAGAGAGAAACATCGACGTGAAGGGACACATTGAGTGGCTGCCACCCGCACGACCAACCAGGGCCGGGGACAAACTGCAACTGAAGTACGTGCCCTTAGTGGGAACCGAGCCCGGGTCTCTTCGGACCGCAGGCCAACGCTCTATAACCGCTGAGCCAAACTGGCCAGGGCACATTGTTTGGCTGTTTAATAAAAGTATATTATTTTCATAATTTAAAATTTTTAACAAATCAGTGTTCATTTGTCATCATGCTTTCTCCCAATTTCCTCTAATGTTTTACTATTTTTATAAACTCTACAGAGCCACTCTGACAGAGGAATTAAAAAGGGCTAGTGGGGGAAAATACAAGAAACAAAACCCAGAAAGTGGGATGAGGATTTCTGGGCGGGGCAGGAGAAGATAGAAAATGTTCTAAAATTAGATTGTGGTGATGGCTGCAAAATTCTGTAAACTTACTAAAAAATCATTGAATTATACACTTAAAATGAGTGAAGTTGTATGGTATGTTAATTATATCTCAAGAAAGCTATTTAAAAATATATTTTTAAAAAGAGCAGAGATCTATTGCAGTAAACATGAAAAACATTGGCAAGAAAGAAACCAAAGCAAAAGAAGACCAGAAACTGAGGGGAATCACTCCGTACCTTGAAAATGGGGAGACTGAGAGAGCGGTGCTGGGTATAAAGGCCGAACGGACTGCAGCTGGGAGGTGACAGATGATGCCTGGGGATAACCGTAGGCTGGCATACCTGCATAAGGCTGAGAAAATGCCAAGTTACAGCCGGTTTATAAAACATTTGTGTCTCTCTTTTTTTGCTTAACTCACTTTGATGAAATAAAGTGGACAAGATGGAAGGAGACTCAAACTTATTGAAGCTGTAGACGGCTAAGACAGGGCTTTGGTATTGAGTAAGAATTGCAGCAGGAGCGTTAGCTTTGTAACCCAGCCACTGAAGTCCTACCCAGGAAATGAGGGAAGGGTGTCTCATGTCACTTCTCAGTCCTCTGGTGATATGATTTCATTAAGTAGGAATTCATTCCCCAGCCACTGGGCCTACTGATGGTCTAAGGAATGTTACAACTAAGACAACTCTGCTTAGTTTCCATTGAGGTAAAAGAAGAAGGGTGCACTGAGATGCCAAACTAATCCACCAGTTTCCAAAGGATGCCCCTCCCCTGCTAGAGTCTAGTGCTTATCTGTGTAACCAAGAGCTCTCATTTTGTGCTGAGCCTCAGTCACCTCAATTATAAAATGAAAATAGTAATACCACATCTTAGGGTTGTTGTGTGGACTAAATGAAGTGATACATAGGTAAAGTTCCTAACAGCTATAAGTTAAGTGCCTGGCAGATAGTAAATGCTCAACAAACAGCAGCTGTCATTTTAATGGTGGTTATTCTTTCTTGAATTAAAGAAATGCAGCTAATTTCCAGGGGTAAATATAACTACCCATTAATTATACATTGAAAAAAAACCTTAGTCTATAGGATGGCAATTCTCCATTAGGGAGTAGAGAAAGGGCAAGTGGGCTTTTTTCAATACTGATACACTCCACACCAATGGGACATAGCCCGACTACTAGCACTCCCACCCTTCTATTAAGAATCACTGAGGAAGTGAGTCCCCCATTTTCACTAGGAGTATGTCTTATCCATCAAAAGCATAGGAGCATGCACTGGCTAGTTTGGCTCAGCAGTTAAGAGCGTCAGCCCATGAACCAATGAATCACGGGTTCAATTCCATCAAGGGCGCAAGTACCTTGGTTGCAGTTTGTCCCCAGCCCTGCATAAATAGTAATACCACATCTATGTTGGGTCGTGCAGGAGGCAACCAGTCGATGTGTCTCTCTCACATTGATGTTGTTTTCCATCTCTCTCCTTCTCTCTCCCTCCCACTCTATCTGATGATAAATAGAAAAATGTCCTCAGGTGAGGATTAAAAAAAACCCAAAATGTATAGGGGCAGAAGAAAGTGTCCACTATCCTGACAAACAATCAGCAGAGGCAGACAGGCTGCTGTCACTGCCTTCTGTGAAAACTTAAAAAATCTACTTTAAGGGATCATTTTTGGAGAATAGCCAGACATCAGAGTCCAGTTGTTATTTTCTATGCAGCCTCCACCCTTAACCTACAACTACTGTGCTGAGTATAGTGCAGAATCTTAGCCCATCAGGTGTATGAAAGAAAAGAACATAGAAGTCCGGTCAGTGTGGTTCAGTGGCTGAGTATAGACCCATGCACCAAGAGGTTGCTGGTTTGATTCCCAGTCAGGACACATGCCCAGGTTGTGGGCTCGATCCCCAGTAGGGGGCATGCAGGAGGCAACCAATCGATGTTCTCTGTCATCAATGTTTCTATCTTTCTCCCGCTCTTTCTCTAAAATCAATAAAGGGAAAAAAAAAAAAGAACACAGAAGATATGCATTTATACCCCTCTGCTAGGCATGAGTGAAAAGGAAACAAATATGGATTGGGCCTTGACCATGTGCCAGGCTTTGTACCAGGTGCTTTGTTTATTCTTGCATTTAATCTTCACAATAACCCATAAAGAATATAATCCTTTGACTGGCTTAGGGATGAAAAAGTGGTGGTTCAGGAAAGGGAAAACTATAATCTCTGATTGTAGTGAGCTGCTACTGTATGAATTATGCAGGAAGAAAAGAGACTGACTAGAACCATAATAAATTATAGCTTATAAATGATATAGCTTTAAAATGTTGTTACCTGAAAGGACTGGGAATTTCCAGACACAGCTGAGGAGTGGGAATGGAGAGATGTAACTTGCATTAAGGCAGCAGAGGGAGCTTGGAGTCCAGAAACAGGTGGCTGAGGTGCTAAGATAATGCAAGAAGTTTTCACCGTTACCTATCCTTGCTTGTACAAGTCCAGAGTAGCATTTTACATACTGTCAGGCTTCAGATTTGACCACTTTCCTCACCTAATCTCCTAAAACCAGTTCTACTGGAGTCTCAGCAATGGGCTAGTGGAATGAACGTTGGTGTTCTCAGGAGCATTTGACTCAGACAGACAATCCCATCAGCTGACAGGAAGTGCAGAATTACACAGGGAGAAATCTCATTAGCTGAGTGCAGATTTCCAAAACTGACAATGCAACACAGCAAGCAGACCTAATACATCTGAAAATGCCCTTCCCAGGGATGAACTGACAAGATTTAAACTCCAGTTCAGTTCTCAGTACAACGATGCAGCCTAACAACTTAAGGAACAGTGATGATAACTTTGGTGCTGACCCAGTTCAAGGCCACAGAGCCGTAGAGAGCTTCCTTACCATGAGCGGTCACCTGTGGTAGCACTGGCTGGGCTGGCTGAAGAGAGGGTTGGATAGATGGAGTCGGCGTGGGTTGCCCAGCTCCTCGCAGAACATTCACTTCCTGAAACAGGCACAAGCATTTTGGTTATTATGTCTCAGTCCTTAAGAGAAGACTAAGGCTAACTGTCCACCCTAAACCAACTTATAACACAGTTCCTAGGCAAAAAGTAGAAAGGAAAAGCAAGCAGGAAGTCAAGGGTTCAGAGTGCAGGATATAGGGAGAAAGCACTACTATGTAATAGAGTAAGATCCCTTCTCCCTGTAAACCATATCAAATAATTAAATATAATTTCCTCAAACATCTAAGTTGTTGAAGTTTTATTATCTGAAGCAGCTAAAGTGACTGCTCTCCAGAACTTATTTACCAAAACAGCAGTAACCTTCAGAATGACCCAGTCTGTTCCCACAGAAGAGAGTTCTCTTGCAAGGAAACCTAGGGAATAATCTAGCCTCTTCTTTTCTGCCAAATTATCTCCATAGACCTCAAGGCACTCAATGAAAACAGATAGAGTAGAATTCATTGCACCTTAATTCACCATAATGTTTTGGGGATAATATAGTTTTAGAGTGTTTTCCCCCCATTCTTTCTTTTCATAAAAATCAAAGCAATGTTGTTCTCACTGTAACCCTAAACAAAGTTACCTTACAAACATCTTCCTTATTTATAAAAGGAAAAGAAAAACCTGAAGCACAATATACAGTGACTGTGATCTCTATGCTACAGTTCAAGAGCTGAAATCTCAGGCATTCTTTTACTTTGACACTTCCTCTTGTTCCTGACAGCATCCCACTCTTACATCCCTATGGTTCTAAATTAACCTAAATATCTAACAACAGAGTGAATGAAATTATTATAAATCAATATAATAGAGCACTGGGTGCCTTTAAAGATAATAATGCTTTGCTTTATTTATATTATTGATATTAACATAAATGTTCATATAACATTAAGTTAAAAATGCAGGTTACAGGGCAATATACATAGAAGAATGCCCTTTTTATTAAAAATGTTTCTTCTTTATTAATTCAAATTACTCTACAAAGAATTAAATAACATTTAACATTTTTTTTTTTTTTTATCCTCACCCGAGGATATTTTTCCATTTTTTGTACAGACAGAGTGGGAGGGAGAGAGAGGAAGGGGGAGAGAGAGAGAAACATCGACGTGAAGGGACACATCGAGTGGCTGCCACCCGCACGACCAACCAGGGCCGGGGACAAACTGCAACCGAAGTACGTGCCCTTAGCGGGAACCGAACCCGGGTCTCTCCGGACCACAGGCCGACGCTCTAACCGCTGAGCCAAACTGGCCAGGGCAACATTTAACATTTTTAATAAGAAGATAATCTTGTTCAAATTTCATTTCCACAGACCAGATAAAAATCAATCCTATAATAAGCCACAGAAATCTCATCCTCCTTTAAATGTTAAATCTACTTAGAGTTTTTCCCAAAAGAGATAAAACATAATTGTAAAAAATAAAGTTATTTTGGAAAATTTTTCTTAGGAGTATGACCTTTGCTATGTTTTACATCACACTGAAAGGATCCAAAAAATCAATCAATATTAAGCATTTCAATTGAAAAGGGATGGTTTTATTTAATAAGGAACTAACCAACCAGAAAAGAACTATATTAGAATTAAGTTATTTCATATCATACAACAATTTAAAGATGAATTACAATTTTAGATATAAATATAAAATAATAAATATTTCTTAAAAACACATGTGATGTTTACATCTGAAAGTGGGAAAGCTTTCTAAGCATATAGGAAAAAACTGATTTGGCTGCAGTAAAATTCTTGACTTAAAAAATCACCTCACATACAATGCCAAAAGACACAACAGTGTGATCTTTAGTTATAGTTAACATCAGTGGGAAGACCAACATTTCCCAAGAGGACCTAAACATTCAATCAACAAATATAAGTTCAGCATCTTATATGAATTGGGTATCATGCTGCCTAAGGAGTGATTTTTATTGGCAAGAGTTTTTAGTAGAAGGCGAAACTGCCTACTTAAAACTGCCCAGTTCTTGTGGTGGATGTATGAAATTGTTTCCATTTTTCAGAGAAAGTGCTAATCACAGTAGAAACACAGTACCAATACCATTTTGAATATAAACTCTCTAAATAATAATTCTGGGTTAGAGGCAGAAAAAGCAATAATTTGAACCAAAGGAACAGAAGATAGCAACTTTTGCATTAGTCATTCTAATACAGCCAGGGAAACATACTTCAATTTCTGAATCATTGGAATCCAGCTGCGGTGGAAGGATGGGCAGCATGGGCTGGCCCATTTTAGCCATCCGAGAGATCAACTTGGCCTTGACCATATGAGGATTCTAAAAAGACAGGAAAGTTATAAAAACCACTGTAATCAAGGTTCACTGCCTTCAGTCAATTCTGTCTTTGGGTCTTGTATCATATCCAACAAGAACCCCTGCCATATCTATTTGAAACCATTTCTTCTAAAAAATGAGAACATTTTCTGGCCTACAAACATATATGGGTCATACATAAGAACAACAGTAAAAATTATTCCCTGTATGTTTGGATTGGACAAAGTGATTTCATATGTATTACTTCATTTCAATCAAGTCTCCCCACCAGGCATAATTATCCCCATTTACAGATGAAAAATAAAGTACAGATTAAAGGAAGGAAGCATTTTAGATTATACTAGCCTCTCAAAAGCCTGGGAGAAATTCAGTAGATAGCTATTCAGAAGAGATTTGGGGAGAGAAGGAAACAGGAGCTCTTTGTTCTAAATTCAGGTTCATTTAACTCTTGACTTGGCACTGACTACACATCACACACTAGTGGAGCCACACTGACTATACACTAGCCCCTGTGCTAAAAGCACCTGTATCCATAATTGTTTCAAAGTACAGCCTTTAGCTCGGCTGGTGTGGCTCAGTGTACTGAGGGTCGTCCCATGGACTCAGAGGTCACCAGTTTGATTCCCAGTCAAGGCACATGCCTGGGTTTCCGGCTTAATCCCCAGCAGCGGGCGTGCAGGAGGCAGCCAATCAATGTTTCTCTCTCACATCAATGTTTCTATCTCTCTCTCTCCCTTCCCCTCTCTCTCTAAAAAAATCAATGAAAACATATATATATAAAGTAGAGCCTTCAGAGTGGAGAGACATACCTCTGAGGGTGCATAAGATGACTATTGAGCACAGAAATGACCATAACCTCTATTTTTAAACTATTTTAAAGCTATAGTAACAAGACAATAAACTTGTTTACAGGGATTGACAGTACTTTATTATATAATTTGTAAATAGACAAAGACTGGGAATATGTGCTCATTTTTTTCCTAAAATGATGGAGATGCATAATAAAAAAATGTTGGATCAGACAAGGGAGGACTCCATACCACAGAATAGTATGAGGAAACTTTGTATATATACACTAACATGGGAAGATATTGTTATAGACATCATAATATGTAAAAAGCAAGGTAGATAACATATATCCTATGCTAACTTTTGTGAAAGGGGAGAGAAATAAAACATACATTCCAATTTGCTTGCATCTGCATAAAGAAACATTGTAAGAATATATAAGAAACTAATAAAACCATTACCTAAGCAGATGAGATGGAATGAGGTAGATGGGGGCAGGGATGGAAGTGAGTCTTCTTAATGTATATCTTGTTATATTATTTTGCTAACTATACTATTTGAATGCAACTACCTATTCAAAACAAAAAATTAAAAATGTAAAAAAAAGACAAATATGGTTAATTTTATGTTCTGGGAATTATGCCTCAATTTAAAAAAAAATTATAAAAAGAAAAGGCAGGAGACCTCTAGTAACCAGAAGTTACTGAAACATAAACAGATGACAAAAGTAGCCATGTCTAGAGAGTACAACAGAACCAATACTGAACAATTTTTTTGTGGCTGCTCAAAAATATGAAACTATAAGTGTGTTTCAATTTTCTTCTAATTCTTTGGCTTAACCTTCTGGGTTTAGGAGATCACTTTTTACACATATCAGGTCAATTATTTGCTTAATAATTATTGCTTTGGGCTGAATATAAATGAAATGAACTAGAGCTGGAAAGAAATTTCTTAACAATTTCACTCTATGCAATTGTCCTATTTCCCAGTGTGGTAGATGAAGGCCACAGGACTTTGGAACTTGAAGTACTTTAGTTTTCATCTCATCCACTTGTAGCAAACTCAGATGTCATCACAAACCAGGCAGGGGAGCAGCAAACTACAGTGTACAATCTCCTAATGACATTCAAATCCAAATTTTACACTATGACAATATGCTGGTCTTCTCTCACATGTGGGGAAACACAGAGGGCCAATATCCTGTTCAAAGTCAACGAGCTGATGAATTAGTACAGAATTCCCCTGAGAGAATAAAAGTATGAAGATATGTAATGTAATTATGGTAATATGTAGTAACTACAACAATAAACTAATGTTAAGCACTTTTACAATATGCCAGACATAATACTAAAAACTTCATAGGCATTATTTCATGTAAACTCATAAAAATCTCTTGAGAGACTATTGAAGACATAGTAGGCTCTGAGCTTAATGTTTTACAAACATATCTCTAATCCTTACAAAACCCTATAAGGGAGCTGAGAGAATTATTTCCATTTTAATCATTAAGAAGCTGAGGATCAGAGAAGTTAGATAACTTTCTCAAGGCCACATGGTTATAAGAATAAAGATTTGAACCCAGGTCTGTCTATGCAGAAGTAAGGGGAAATGAATAAAGTAACCATTGAGTTCTAGCTACATCTATGGTTCTCAACATTTTTTTATCGCTACCCTACACAATAAAACTTTTCAGCAAACTGGGGGTGAGGAAGATTGACTCATATACTCACTGTATTTACTGTAAGCTGTTCACTGAGGGAGTTAGATTTGTTACGAAGAGCCGGCTCCCTGAAAGCAAGCAGAACATATGAGATGAAAACAAAATCCATAATCACAAATCTAGATTATACTGATAAACAAATTATTTTTTAAATGTTTGCCAATTTAATAGCTGTAAAACAGAATTTTAACTCTTTAGTTTGCTTAATTTCTGAAAGCTAGTGAAGATAAATAATGTTCGATCCAAATGCTTATTATTCACATTTTTTTCCTTGAGTATATATTTTGTGATTATGCCTTTTACCCAATTTTCTTCCAGGGTTTGGCAGCTACTCTTAAATATCTGAGTTAGTGCTTTTACAGACTATGAATATGAATCCTTTGTCAGAAAAATCTAATGCAAGTATTTTTCCCATCCCATTTTTAACAGCTATTAATTTTTTTTTTAGTTTTTAACTATATCCCTATTTCTAAACCTCTCTAAGAATAATTTTTATGGACAAATAGAGCTTGATACAAATCTAGTATCTGACCCTGACTTGAAAGGCACAGATGTGGGTGGTGACACAACAGGATCAGCAGGTAGACCGTCAGCAACAGGTATGGGAGAAGGGGCTGCAGAATCCCGGGAACCAACACTGTGCCCATCAGAACCGGAATCTCTGGCAAACTTCACCTAGGGAAAGAACCCAAAGGTGAAATAGGTCACCAAAAAGACACCCTTCCCCCTTCATCCTCCTTGCATTTTACTTAGTCTTCATTACACAAGTCATAATCTTAATCTTTTCATTGTAGGTAAATCAGAAAATATAGATAAGCAAAAAAAAAAAGGGGGGGGGGCGGTAGGAATCACCTGTAGTCCAACCACTAAGCAATAACACTGTTAGAATTTTGGATGTAGTATTTCACATTTGTTTTATCTAGGTTCATGTGTGTATATGTATATGTGTTTTTACAAAAATGAGGCCATACTATTCTGCAACCTGCTTTGCCCACTCACTGATATATTAACGTATTTCCAGGTTACTAAATTAATGATCTACAACATCACTTTTAACTACTGAAGAGTATGTTTAATTTCAAGGGTCATGTCCTTAACTGTTATTACCTACAAAAAAATCCAGAGTTATGGGAAGCCATAAATATTAATGCTATTACAAAATATATTTCACCAATTCCTCACTATTGGACATTCAAGTTATTTCTAATTCTTTCTATCACATGCAATACTTCTATGAATAGTTTTATATCTATATATTTGCATAGAATCTTAAATATTTCCAAAGCATAAATTCCCAGAAGTTAAACTGTTGGAAAAAAGTATGCTCATTTTTGAGACTTCTGATAAATACCATTAAATTGCATACCAGCAAGGGTGAACTACTTTATACTCTACATGTAGTATATAAATCCTTCTCAACACTCTTGTTACACTGGGCATAATAATTCTGTATCACCCTTGTCAATTTAATAAGCAAGTCAATTTGTAATTATTCCATTACTGGTTTAAAAAAAATTTTTTTCCCCTTATGTTTACAAAATGCCAGTCTTCATAGGTACAAATTGCTTTATCTATTACCAGCCAACTCAAAGGAAAATTGAGAAACCGTAATAGTTACGGAAAAGGCAGCTGGAAGCATGTCAGGAAAGAGAGCTGAAATGACCCAGCAGAGATAACAGTGTCTAGTTAGGAAAGAGTCCTTCAGAAGTGGGAGGAAATTATATATCTATTTTTCTTTCTTTTTTTATCCTCACCCGATTTTTGCATTTATCTTTAGATAGAGTGGGAGGGAGAGGGGAGGGGAGAGAGAGAGAGAGAGAAAAACATCAATGTGAGAGACACATCAATTGGTTGCCACCCACACGACACCAACCAGGGCCGGGGACAAACTGCAACCGAGGTACATGCCCTTAATGGGAACCAAACCTGGGATTCTCTGGTCCGCGGGCCGATGCTCTAACCGCTGAGTCAAACTGGCCAGGGCTTATATATCCATTTTTATATTTCGATATATAAATATCTTTACTTACTTATGAGAATAAATTGATAGGATAAATTTGTAGCCATGGAATTACTAAGTCAAAAAATGTTCACATTGGATAGAAATCACTATTTAAGGACAAAATAAAAAGTTTAGTGTAGCCTTGGCCGGTTTGGCTCAGTGGTTGGAGCGTTGGCCTGCGGACCAGAGAGTCCCGGGTTCAGTTCCTGCTAGGGGCACATACCAAAAAAAAAAAAAAAAGTTTAGTGTAGAGAAATAATTTGCTCAGTCACAACCTCTCCTAGACTCTGAACAGAGAGCAAGTAAGGATATAAACCTTGGTCTTAAAAAACAAAGTCTTCAGAATCTGGTTTTCAAACATATTTATTCATTTTACTTAATTAGCAACGAGGACTAATCAACACAGCATGTAAACAATTTCACTCACCCGCCTAATCTCCACCTCAAACACCAGGGGTGAGTCCGTTGACTGAGTCCATCCTATTACCCCTTCAGAGCCAGCAGCACAGGCTGGAGGGATGATAAGCAACCGCTTCCCTCCTTTTTTCATGCCCAGCATTCCATCCTCCCAGCCCTTTAGGAATCAGAGAAGGAGAAAAACTCATCAGACACAAACCTCCTCGAAAGGAAAAATGAAGTATGGGACCATCAGGTTTCATTCATCCACATTTTCAGGTTTTGACTTCTGGAGAGAGTAAAGTTTCACCTAATCCCCCACCTCCCCACTGGTTATAAGAATAGGTGGACACTGCTTCTGAATTTACTCGTAAAAGCCAGCACATCCAGAGATGAATGAAACATATTTATCTCAGATGAGAGAAATTGGGAGAAACAGAATGGCATTAAAAGAGAAATAAAAGCTACCATGTATTAAACACATTTTTCCAAGTACTCTAGCAAGTGCCCTACTTGCATTATGTTGTTTAATCCCCAAAATAACTTCATAAGGTTAGCAGTATTATCCCCATTTTACATATGAGAAAACTGAGGCTTAGGGAGGTTAAATAACTAGCCCAAGATCAGAGTTAGTAATTTGTTAAGCCAATATTCAATACCATATCTGTATAGCTTCAAGGGTCATGCCTTAACTGCTATGATCTACACTAAAGTTTCCAAAAGACTGAGAAAAGGAGTCATAAACAACACTATGGAGAAAACCTTTTTGCCCCATGGATGAATGAGTACTTTACAATGTATCAATATGTCCAGTGTGGATATGCTGGGGCAGGGGTGATTTGTATCCAGGGCAGGATGGAGCGAGATTTTATCACACCTCAGAACAGCAAGCGACTTAAAATTTATGAATTGTTTACTTCTGAAATTTTCCATTTACTATTTTCAGACAGTGGTTAACCATAGGAAACTAAAACTATGGAAAGCAAAACTGAGGATAAGGGAGGATTACTGTACATTGTCTCATAGGTAAAAATCTCCCAAATGCAGATAATGTAACACATTTTCCCCTCTTACTTTTTTTTTAATCCTCAGCCGAGGACATTTTTCCATATTTTCTTCAGATAGACTGGGAGGGAGAGAGAGAGAGAGAGAAACATCGATGTGAAAGGGACACATCGAATGGCTGCCAACCGCACGACCCAACCAGGGCCGGGGACAAACTGCAACCGAAGCACGCGCCCTCAGCGGGAACAGAACCTGGGTCTCTCTGGACCGCAGGCGGACGTTCTAACCGCTGAGCCGAACCGGCCAGGGCCCCCTCTTACTTTTTAACCAAGCCTTTCCAGACTCTCAGAAGATACCCAGGTTAAAAATTTCACAAAATTTAATCTAAATTAAGCCTACTGCAATGGATAAAACCATGTAAGAATACAGGTAAACCTTTACCTTGATGACTTTTCCTGATCCTAATTTCAGGCGAAGCAGCTTATCTTTGTTAGCAGTGGAGTCAAAAACCTGCAATTTGATTAAAGTAAATGATAAATGAGGTTAGCCAATTTAAAAAACAATAATAAGCATGATATGCAACTTATTAAACATACCAGCACAGTATTTCTGGAATAGGGAATGTCAAATATACTGGGAAAATAGTTCTTAAGAGAGCTGAAAAGACAGGACCACATCATGGGTAAAGGATAGTAATGATACTGTTGTAATTAACTAGTTATTAATATCAGGAAAGACTTGGCTGGTGTGGTTCAGTGGTTAAGCATCGATCCATGCACCAAGAGGTTGCCGGTTCAACTCCCGGTCAGGGCACATGCCCAGGTTGTGGGCCCGATCTCCAGTGGGGGACATGTAGGGGGCGACCAGTTGATGTTCTCTCTCATCGATGTTTCTGTCTCTCCCTCTCCCTTCCTCTCTCTCTAAAAATCAATCAAGAAAAAAATAATTAAATAATAATAATAATAATAACAGGAAAGGAGCAAAGTAAGGCCAGATATTATAGGTATGTTCCCTGCAAAACACTAGGGAAAGGGGACTGAACAAAGGGAAGATAGATGCATGCCCAGTAAAGTTGGGTTGACATCAAGAAGATACTTGCCTATCAACCACACCTGAGGACAGAGATGGTTGGCCAGAATGGGTGTGGCCACTGCAAGGGCACGAAGATTTGGGACACTTAATTCCCTGAACAAAGAAGTTTGCTCTCTTATGCTCTTGGTTCCTCTTGGCAAGTTGCACTTAACTCCTGGCTTGTGGGGACCATTTGCTCCTACTTCCTTGTATTCACCCGTGTGGTCCTCGACCATGCAGACCCCCACACACAATGGACAAATGGATTGCAACTAGCCTGATGCTGAACTAGACCTGTCTCCAACATGGAATGGAAACTCTGGACACTGGCTCTGACTTTAGCTCTACTGAAACCCCAGCTATACCTCTTTTATGGCTATACTAAGAGAAATAGGACTTTGGAAACCCAGAGACTGAATTCCACACAAATAAAAATCACTCATTCTCCCATACAAGTCTCTGAAAACTCCTTTTCTTAGGATATTGAAAGACGTCCAGCCCCAACAGCACCCAGAGGATCCCCCACTTCGTCTGGTAACGTTATCACATAGAATATCTCTGAGGCACTCGTTTTCCAGGGTTAGAAAAAAAAGTGACTTCATCTATTAAAAGCATTTTTCATCTATAAACAACTTTAAAATAAATAATCTCATTTGATGCTGCCACCAATCCTGCCACTAATCACTAACCTCTACTCATCAATGGGGGGGAGGGGAATGAACACATTAAGAGCTTAATGACTTAACAAGGTTAAGTTAGGATAAAATAATTGGGACTTGAATTCCCGTATTTTGACTCATAGTCTAAAGTTCTTTCTATCATACCATACTGCTTTTGGCGGCTTAATATATTAAAAGACCACAAGCCCAACTTATTTATAGTATCTATAACAGAAACAACCGGAAGCTTTAAAAAGAAGTTGTAAGACCTAATTCCATAATATATTCCTAAGAATATATTCAACTATAAAACTAGACATACGTGAACAATTGCCACAAATAACACTTAGGAAATTAGCTTCCATTTTCTCCAAGTAGAAGAGTCATGGTGAGTGGCACTGAGCAGATTTTATACATTAACATTTCACTGCTATGCCCTAAAAGCAACAGTAAGAATTAAAGCAGGGCTCCTAAAATATTTCTATTTGCCAACAGCAGCAATTCACAGTAATACTACCTTACATATAAATAGCCCTCATGCTGTTTGAATTACAAAAGAACTCACGGGGTACATTTTCTTACCTGGCCCAGTGTATGATTCTGAAAGAGCCAGCTGGTATAGGCCACTTCCAAAGAATCTCCAACTTCCACAGCAGGACCCTCTGTTACAATGAGGTCCTGTGAGAGCACTGCATCCAGGGAAGAGGCACTGTTGCACTTGGCAATGCACACCTGTGAGACCAAAAAAAAAAATCAAAGCAGCATAAATTTAAAGCTTAGTAAGTACTCACTCCATTTTTGCTAATGCTCTTTTCCAAACAGTGGCTTCCACCAACAAAACAGATTATATGCTTAGAAGTAAACCATTCCAAAGTCAGTAATGTTGTCCAGAATTAAAGTGACTAAGAGTATAGCTTTGGAGTCAGACTGTCTGAGTACAGATCTGAATTTACTAACTGCCACTTATTAACTTGTGATCTTGGCTGGATAACTTAACCTCTGTGAACCTTATTTCATAGAGGATTTTTGTAAAATGGAGATAAAAACTTTGCATATCTCCTACAGTAGTTGTGAAGACTGAACTAATACAAGTACAGTACTTGGCAAAGTGTCTGTAAAATAATAATAGGTACACATAAATGTTAGCTATCATTACCATACTGATTTAATGCTTCAGTATTTGAGAATCTAGGCAAGCATTTTTATTTTTTTTAATTTAATTTATTTTTTATCCTCACCCAAGGACATTTTTCCATTTTTTGTTCAGATAGAGTGGGAGGGAGAGAGAGGAAGAGAGAGAAACATCGATGTGAAAGGGACATATCGAGTGGCTGCTACCCGCACGACCAACCAGGGCCGGGGACAAACTGCAACCGAGGTACGCGTCCTTAGCGGAAATAGAACCCAGGTCTCTCTGGACCGCAGGCCGACGCTCTAACCGCTGAGCCAAACCGGCCAGGGCTAGGCAAGCTTTTTTTTTTTTTGTGGTACATGCCCCTAGCGGGAACCGAACCCGAAACTCTCTGGTCCACAGGCCGATGCTCAACCGCTGAGCCAAATTGGCCAGGGCTAGGCAAGCATTTTTAAAGATGATGTAACCAGGCAGAAACTTCATTTCTTTAATATGAACTTTCTCCTTTCTTTCCTTTTGATTGACACTGGTCTCATCTAGCACCCTGACTCATCTGACTCCTTCTCCCTTGCATGTCCACTACCTTAATCACTAAGCCTTCAGACAGTAAGGTCAGCATTAAACTATCATAGGAACAAAGCCTCAGGTCTATTGACTACAAATAGAATTTCAATCAAACTAAAGATAATAGGCCTCAACTGTGTTTCAGCCCCAGAAAAGCAGTAAAGCCAGATGAAGCAATGCCATGGCTGACACCAGGACCAGAGGCAGTGATCAACTATCCCCTACCCTAGCACCGACCAACCAATCAGTAGAGACCACAACCCTAACTAACTCCCTTAGTTCTCTATATAACCAACACACCTAGTAAAAGCCATCGGAAAGCCACATCTTTGAGCAATGGCTCACTTGTGACTCTGGGCATGACACCACTTCCTCAAATAATAAACCCTTACTTTCTTTGCTGTGAAGTTCTATTTGTGTGTTATTGGGCTTTCATGCATGCAGGCGAACAGACCCCTTTAATCTGGTAACAACAATAAACTAGAAAAAAAAGGCACTTTAGAAAACCGTGTTGCATTCCCATAATTTATATCCACACTATACCTACAATCTGAGCCATATTATCTTAGCACAGATCTTAGAATTTCAACCTTTCTTAGACAAAGAAATCAGAAACAGCCCTGGCCGGTTTTGCTCAGCGGTTAGAGCGTCGGCCTGTGGTCCCGAGAGACCCAGGTTTGGTTCCCGCTAAGGGCTCGTATCTCGGTTGCAGTTTGTCCCCAGCCCTGGTTGGGTCGTGCGGGTGGCAGCCACTCGATGTGTCCCTTTCTCGATGTTCCTCTCTCTCTCTCTCTCTTTTCCTTTCTCTCCCTCCCACTCTATCTGAACAAAAAATGGAAAAATGTCCTCGGATGAGGATAAACAAAAAAAAAAATTAGAAATCAGAAACATCTTTATGAAAAATTATTCTAGTCAATGCTTTCTTTTGTGGCATAGCATTTTAGTCAATGTTTTAATATAGTATATGCTAGAAATCTGCTACTCATTTTCTTTTGTTTCATTACTGCACTCAAATAAATGGCAAGTAAAACAATGAAATATTATTTTTTATCAATCAAATAAGACTAAAAGAAAAAAAAAGATAATACCAAATGTTGGCACAGATACAGTGAATTAATAGAAATGTAAAGTAGTATAATATCTCTGAAAAACAGTGTGCCAAAGTGCATATAGAACCTAAAAATATCTGAGCCCTTTGACACATCTTTCACCTCTAAAAATCTAGCTTAAGGAAATAATCAGGGGGGGGGACACAAAAGAACACAGACTTATATACAAAAATGCTTGCTAAAGTATCATTTATTTCAAAGACTGAAAACAATTCAAATAACTAAAAGAAAGAAAATGACTAAATAAAGGAACATTCATATAATTCAACTTTCAAAATCTTTCCAAATAATTTTTCATGAGATGGGGAAAGATACATTACACATTATTAAATAAAATAAGCAAGACACAGAAGTCTTAAAGAAATACATCTACATATATATAATGTTTAAGAAAAAAATGTTAATAGTGATTATTTTAGGTAGTAGGATTATAAGTGATTTTTTTTATTTTTATTTTTTTGTAGATAATTTCTCAGCCTTTATTAGATCTTGGCAGGAATCCAGTGAACCTAGAATATTTCCCCCCTGGTTTTGATAACTACACTCAGTTGTTGTTGTTGTTGTTTTAATTTTTATTAATTTACTTTTGTTACAGATGTTTCTCCTTTTTTCCCCATTGACACCCTCCTCCCCATCTCCCACACCCCATCCCCAACTTTGTTGTCCATGTCCATTGGTTATGTGTACATGCATATAAGTTCTGTGGTTTATCTCTTTCCCCCAACCCCCTCTTCTGAGGGCTGTCAGTCTGTACCCTACTTCCACACCTCCGGGTCTACATGAGTGATTTTTTAAAAGACGCTTTTCTAAATTTTCTACAATGATCATGTAGTAACCTTTAAAAAAATCCCTTAAAACACTGTTTAAGTATTAGTTTTATTCATTCCTTAAGATAATTTATGAAGTAGAAATGTTTTAAAGAACTAACTTTAAAGAACTAACCTTTTTTCTATTAAAGCCTCATTTTCAAGCAATATGAATTAAGTATTTCTATTATTTCCCTGGAATACAATAAGCTCAAGTGACAAATTTAGTGGTTTTTTTCATACTTGCCCACTAATAAAGTATAACAGGTTATGGGTTTTCCATAGAGTGTATTTTCCCCAAATCAAAGGAAATCCAGACTAGTGTCTGGCTTTTCAAAGGAAGAATTAGATGGTATTACCTGTTTATTGAACTCCGCAGCAGCCTTTTCTGATTCAAACATGATGGACCAGTTCTGTCTCTGGTCATCATAAAAGGTGCTATAGTTATTGGGCTGAACCTGGGGAAAGGAGAAATGCTGGCATAACTCAGCCAAACAGCACAGCAGATTAATCTGACTACTTAACTCAGACCGAAGGGCCATAACTAAGGTGGACCCAGAGCGAGATATCAAGGAACTCTCTTCTTCCCTCCCACCTTCCCTATATCATCCCTTAGTCCACATTCCCAGAAGGCAGCCAAGCGACCTTTTTAAGATGCTCTGTTAAGATATTCAGTCTGATATTCAGGGCTGAAGCAGTAGATCTAATTCCCATCAGGTATGTGCAGACCAATTTCTCCTATAAACCTATCCCAAGGGAGTTTATGACTCTAATATGGGAAGTCTTACCGTTATCTCAAAGTTTAGATGAATCCTGGCAACAGTAACTGGCTGTTGTTGACTGATATAGAGAAGAATCCTATACTGTACTCAAGCAAAGATGAGAAGAGAAAAAAAAAGAGAACAGAAGTTAAAAGATAATACAAAAATCAGCAGTAAGATGTCAGGGGTAGTGTTTCATTCAGGCATAAAACTCAAAACGCAGTTAATCTTTGAAAGCTTGGATTTTAAGTTATATCTTCTCAGTACCCATTCTAATCTCTTTTCATTTTGGCCTTATCATTAACTGTAATTAGCAATGTCTATTTTGTTGGTGTTTTCATTTGTAGGAGGGGTGACTAAGAGATAAATGAATGGCCAACAGGTGCGTGAAAAGATGCTTAATGTCATCAGTCATCAGGGAAATGCAAATAAACCAAGATATCACTTCATACCTACTAAAGTGGCTATAAAAAAAAACAAACAGAAAAAATAATGAAGTGTTGGCAAAGTAGAGAAGAAATTGGAACCTATATATTGCTTATAGGAATATAAAATGGTATAGCTGCTATGGAAACAGTCTGGCAGTTCCTCAAAAGGCTAAATACAGAATAACCTTATGACACAGCAATTTCACCCCTAGTATATACACCAAAAAACTGAAAACAGGGACTCAAACATATACCTATATACCAATGTTCACTGCACCATTATTTATAATAGTCAAAAGGTAGAAACAACCAAGTGTCATGAACTGATGGATGGACAGACAAAATAAATTATATACATACAGTGGAATATTACTCAGCCATAAAAAAGAATGAAATTCTGATACATGCTACAATATGGATGAATCATGAAAACATTATGCTAAGTGAAATAAACTAGACACAAAAAGACAAATATATGACTCCACTTATGTGAAATACCTAGAGTAGGTAAATTCATAGACACAGGAAATAGATTAAGGTTACCAGAGGATAAGAGAAAGGAATGGGGAGTTATTGCTTAATGATTACAGATTTTCTGTTTAGGGTGATGAAAAAGTGGAAATGGATAGTGGTGATGGTTCCTCAATATTGTGAACATAATTAATGCCACTGAATTATACATTTAAATGGTTAAAATGGTACATTTTAGGTTTCATATATATTTACTATACACACATAAAACCACATGATCAAACAAATTTTTAAACAAATGATTTTTTAAACAAATGATTAAAATTCAATCCTCCCTTCCCCCCCAAAAATTCAATCCCAAAGGGGAGGATGAGACTATGAGGACTCATATACAATCTTGCACCAGAAAGGTCTTTCCTTATCCTGTTAGGCAGATAGAGTGAAGGGCCGTTCACCTCAATGCAAGCCAATTACAGACCGAGTTGATCAGGAAAGGATCACAGATTTATTAAGAGTCACTCCACTTTTAGGCTGTCCCTATTCTCAAGCCTGAAAGGTCTCTGACTTCTGAGTCCTGAACATTCTGCCCACCAGTGATTCTGAGCTGAGGTTCTTTAGCCTCCTCCCCATGAAATTCAAAATCTAGCAAATGTAACTGAGAGGAAGGTTATCTGATGTTTGTTACAGGTTCTCGTCTTATAATAGGACTTTATCTCCTATGCACAAGATTGTAGAATTTTCCCTTTGCCTTTCTGGCACAGCCCTGAACTTCCACACCATCCCAGAACTCAGCAATGTCCTAGGGGGAAAAAACAATCTTGCATTTGGAGCTCCTCTAGTTTTTGCCAATGTCTTCGCCCCTAGTAGTTGCAGTGCTTGGGCCATAACTAATGTTTAGTCTGTGCTTAAGCATAAGCAAAAGTCTCAGGGGAAGGAAACACTCAACTCATTGACTAGTCCCTCTCTGAAATTTTAGTTCATCTAGTCCTCATAATTTCCACAGCTCTCCAATGAATTTTTGTTGTTGCTGTTAATCCTCACCTGAGGATATTTTTTCCATTGACTTCTAGAGAGGGAGGGAGGGTGGGAGGAGAGAGGGTGAAAGAGGAGGAGAGACAGGGAAAGAGAGATAGAGAGAGAAACATCAATGTGAAAGAGAAATATTTCAATTGGTTTCCTCCCGCATGTGCTGGGGATTGAACCTGCAACCCAGGTACATGCCCTTGACTGGGAATCAAACCTGCAATGAGGAACAACCAGACTTTATTTACCTCTAGATGAGAAAATTAAACAAATTTATTTTTTTTTTTTCGTATTTCATGTAAAATACATGCATATGTATTTTGTTCTGACCAAAAGAGTGGAAACATGTCACACAACTAAACTGTTTTATTTTTTTAATTACTATTCTTTTTATTTTTATTTTTTATTAATTAATTTTTGTTACAGATGTTTCTCCTTTTCCCCTCTAGACACCCTCCTCCCGATCCCACACCCCCCAGCATTGTTGTCTATGTCTGCTAGTTACACATACATGCATACAAGTTCTTTGGTTTATCTCATCTATCCCCCCTGCACCCCTCCTCTGAGGTCTGTCAGTCTGAACTGTACTCCTTTCTATGTCTCTGGGTCTACTTCGTTCATCTTCCCACCTTGTTCATTATATTCCACAAATAAGTGAGATCATGTGGTATTTGTCATTCTCTGACAGGCTTATTTCGCTTAGCATAATACTCTCCAGGTACCTTCGTGTCGTCTCAAAGGATAAAAGATCTTTCTTACAGCCGCATAGTGTTCCATTGTGTACATGTACCACAGCTTTTTTATCCACTTATCTATTGATGGACACTTAGGCTGTTTCCAGATCTTAGCAATTATAAATAGTGCTGCTATGAATATAGGGGTACATATATTCTTTCTGATTGGTGTTTCAGGCTTCTTAGGATATATTCCTAGAAGTGGGATCACTGGGTCAAATGGCAGTTCAATTTTTAATTTTTTGAGGAAACACAAAAAATTAAACAGACTTAAATGACACAGTAACCAACTGCAGTATATGGACCTTATTAGATCCTGATTAAAACAAACTGTAAAAAACAAAAAAGAAAAGAAAAAGACAATTAGGAAAATTTGAATACTCGCTGGTAGTGAATGACATAAAAATTGTGGGATTTTTTTAGGTGTAATAATGGCATAATGGTTACATTAAAAAAAATATTTTTTATTTCAGATACACACTAAAGTATTTGTAGCTAAAATTGTATGCTGCAAATTAATTCAAAATAATCTGAGTGGGAGAAGAAGGAAGACTGGCTGGGTTTAAGGTGAAACAAGATTAATAACAGTTAAACAAGATTGATGGACCCTTAGCTAGACTCACCAAGAAACAAAGAGAACCCAAATACAGAAAATCAGAAATGAAAGAGGAGAAGTAACAACTGACTCCACAGAAATACAGAAGATCGTTAACAACTACTTTGAACAATTATATGACAACAAATTCGACAATCTAAGCAAAATGGACAAATTTCTAGAAACACATAGTCTCCCAAAACTGGACCGGGAAGAGAGAGAAAACTTGAACAGACCAATAACAACTAAGGAAATTGAAGAGGTAATCAAGACTCTCCCAGCAAACAAAAGCCCAGGCCCGGATGGCTTCACGGGGGAGTTTTACCGAACTTTCAAAAAAGAACCAACACCCATTCTCCTCAAACTAATTCAAACATTCAAGAAGAAGGAAGACTTCCAAACTCATTTTATGAGGCCAGCATAATTCTAATTCCAAAACCAGAAAAAGATATTACAAAGAAAGAAAACTACAGGCCAATATCCCTGATGAACATAGATGCCAAAGTCCTGAACAAAATATTAGCAAATTGGATCCAGCAACACATCAAAAAAATTATTCACCATGACCAAGCGGGATTCACCCCAGGGATGCAAGGCTGGTACAATATTCGAAAATCAATAAATGTGATACACCACATAAACAAAATAAAGAATAAAAACCACATGATCGTATCAATAGATGCTGAAAAAGCATTCGACAAAATCCAGCATCCATTTCTGATAAAAATGCTCAGCAATCTGGGAATAGAGGGATCATATCTCAACATAATAAAGGCCACATATGAAAAACCTATAGCCAACAACTTACTCAATGGGAAAAAACTAAAAGCATTTCCCTTAAGAACAGGAACAAGACAAGGATGCCCACTTTCGCCACTGTTATTTAACATAGTACTGGAAGTATTAGCCATAGCAATCAGACAGGAAGAAAAAATAAAAGGGATCCAAATTGGAAAGGAGGAAGTGAAACTGTCATTATTCGCAGATGACATGATACGATATGTAGAAAACCCCAAAGACTCCATCAAAAATTTACTAGACTTAATAAAGGAATTTGGCAAATTAGCAGGCTACAAAATTAACGTCAAGAAATCGATGGCATTCTTATACACCAATGATGAACTCACAGAAAGAGAAACTAAGAAAACAATCCCATTTACCATTGCGGCAAAAAAAATTAAGATACCTAGGAATAAACTTAACCAAAGAAATAAAGAACCTATTTGCAGAAAACTACAGGTCATTGAAAAAAGAAATAGAGGAAGATATAAAAAAGTGGAAGCACATACCTTGTTCATAAATTGGAAGAATTAACATCATTAAAATGTCCATACTACCCAAAGCAATCTATAGATTCAATGCAATCCCCACCAAAATACCAATGACATAATTCACAGAACTAGAACAAATACTTCAAAAGTTCATATGGAACCAAAAAAGACCTTGAATAGTCACAGCAATCTTGAAAAAGAAGAACAAAGTAGGAGGGATCACATTACCAGATTTCAGGTTATACTACAAAGCCACTGTAATCAAAACAGCCTGGTACTGGCACAAGAATAGGCATATAGACTAGTGGAACAGAACAGAGAACCCAGAAATTGACCCAAGGCAATATGCTCAATTAATATTTGACAAAGGTGGCAAGAGCATACAGTGGAGTAAAGACAGCCTCTTTAATAAATGGTGTTGGGAAAATTGGATAGCTACATGCAAAAAAATGAAACTAGACCATCAACTTACACCCTACACAAGAATAAACTCAAAATGGATAAAAGACTTAAATGTGACTCATGGATCCATAAAAATCCTAGAAGAAACTGTAGGCAACAAAATTTCAGACATCATACGCAGCAGAATTTTCACTGATACATCACCTAAGGCAACAAAAACAAAGAAGAAAATGAACACATGGGACTACATCAAACTCAAAAGCTTCTGCACAGCAAAAGATACAATCATCAAAATGGAAAGGCAACACACTGTATGGGAGAGCATAATTGCCAATAATATAGCAGATAAGGGGTTAATTTCCAATATATATAGAGTACTCATACAACTCAACAAAAGGAAGACAAAGAACCCAATTAAAAAATAGGCAGAGGAACTAGACACCTCTCTAAACAGGACATACAAATGGCTAAGAGACATATGAAGAAATGTTCAACATTACTAATCTTCAGAGAGATGCAAATTAAAACAACAATGAGGTATCACCTCACACCTGTCAGAATGACCGCCATCAACAAATCATCAAACAAGTGTTGGCGAGGGTGTGGAGAAAAGGAGACTCTAGTACACTGCTGGTGGGAATGCAGACTGGTGCAGCCACTATGGAAAACAATATGGTGTTACCTCAAAACATTAAAAATTGAATTGCCATTTGACCCAGTGATCCCACTTCTAGGAATATACCCTAAGAAGCCTGAAACATCAATCAAAAAGAATATGTTTGTAGCAGCACTATTTACAATAGCTAAGATCTGGAAACAGCCCAAGTGTCCATCAGTAGACGAATGGATAAAAAAGCCATGGTACATATACACAATGGAGTACTATGAAGCTGTAAGAAAGAAAGATCTCTTATCCTTTGAGACAACATGGAGAGACCTGGAAAGTATTATCCTAAGCAAAACAAGCCAAACAGAAAGACAAGTATCATATGATCTCATTTATTTGTGGAATATAATGAACATAACAGTCTGAGGAATGGGGTAGTGCCAGAGACGTGGAAGTGGAGTACAGACTGACAATTCCCAGAAGAGGGGGTGGTGGGGGAGAGATAAATCACAGAATTTATATGCATGTATGCATGAACAATGGACATAAACAACAAAGCTGGGGAGAGGGCAGGGAGGGAGAGGGTGGGGGTAATCAGTGGGGGGAAAAGGAGAAACATCTGTAACAAAATAAATAACTTAATAATAAAAAAAAAGATTAATAGCAGTTAGAGCCAAATAATGGGTATCTAGAGGTTCATTAGTCTAGTCCCAGTATTTTTATATTTCCAACTTTCCATAATTGATTTTTTTGTTTGTTTTTAATACAAATGAGTGTTGTCTATTATATTAGTTACCCTGACCAGGTCATCTTATCTCTCTGTTTCAGAGTCTCTGAGGAGTATGGAATCCATGCTCTCTGGACTTCTGAAATGCTATAATTTATTATGCTTATTTTAACAATGTTCAAAACCTTCTGAAGCAGAATTTGAAGCTAGATAAAACACACACAAGTAAATCAGTCTCAGGGCTTCTGGTCATATGTTCTTTTTGACCAAACTAATATTTTACTATGTGACCAGTTGTCCATCTCATTATCAAATTTTCAAAGGATAAACACTAGTCATTAATGCAGGTACAAAGTCATATTGCTCTAAGTAGTACACTAAGTGTTGCTCATCACCTAGCAAAGGGACGTCCTTGGTAAATGGTTTACTCTAAAACTCCAAATTCTGGTCCTGGCTAGTATGCTGAGTGGTTAGAGCATCAGCCTGCAGACTGAAGGGTTGAGGGTTCGTACTTGGGTTGCAGGTCTGATCCCTGGCCCCAGCTGGCATCATGTGAGAGGCAATCAATCAATATGTCTCTCTCACATTGATGTTTCCCTCATTCTCTCTCCTTCTCCCTCCCTCTCTTCCATTCTATCTCAAAAAAATCAATGAAAAAATATCCTTGAGTGAAGATTAACAACAAAATAATTAAATAAATAAATAAATAAATAAAATAATATTTAAAAATAAAACTCCAGCCCTGGCCAGTTTGGTTCAGCGGTTAGAGTGTCGGCCTGCAGACCAAAGAGTCCCGGGTTCAGTTCCCGCTAGGGGCATGTACAAAAAAATAAAATAAAACTCCATAAATTCTTAAGCTATGTCCATACCACAAAGGTCAAACTTAAAGATTTTGAGAGGGTTGATTTGTTTTAATGCACAATGATAAGCAAAATGTGACTATAGATGTTACTATATACCTAATATTAAAAATTTACATTCAACACAATCAATCTTTTTAATACTCTGACACATGAGATACTGGGCAAGCCCAGAGGAAAACCAGCTCATGAGTATGATTTAGAACACTTGAATATACATGAGAAAATCTCACCTCTCTGGCTGTGTGATTTCCTAGGACTGCAGCACCAAATTTGCCCTGTTTTACATATTGACCATTTGTGCTATAGAGGCAAAACAAACAAACAACAGATATTAATACTTCCTTAAAGTAAGCAGCACTAGTTTTCTTTTCTGCCATATAAAAGTGGGAAATCTAGTCATTTAGTCTCTAGAAAGGAATAGAGGAGAGCAGTTCATAGTTTAAAGTTCTTACACAACTTCCTTACTCTTTAAATATCTACTATTTCTATCTCAGTGGAGTATCTTTCTTTGAGCAGTTGGAAAAACAGTTGTTGAGGGTACAGGCACTTTAGAGAGAGAGAGAAGATAATGGCTCTTCAAAGTTTTATGAGAAGTTGGAAAATTGGATAAAAATCATTATTGATACTTTTTCTAGGGAAAGGCTAAGCAGCCATTTTGCAATGAATAGAGGCTTATTGAGAAAAGACACTCCCAACTTCAGAAAGCATTTCTTCTCAGCTACTTACTATCTGTATGCATGGACTGCTGTTGCAACAAATACTGTGGAAGTGCCTGCTGAGGTGGGTGCTGTTTTTGGTGTCGCTGGATTTCCTGAAGAAAACAAAGTTGTCATTGATTTCTTGCTTGAAACTGATTTTTTAACCATTAAAGCTGCTTCAAATTCTTCTTTACACCTTATAGTTAGTGTTAAAATGCTATTATGAGACCATTATCCTCATTTGATCCATAAAACAGTCCTATGACTTCATCTAGGGATGACGGAACCAAGGCTCTAAACACACAAGGGTCTTCCTTACACAATGATAGTAACAAGCCTAGGACTAGAACCCAGGACTCTTGACTCTATTCCAAACAAGTGCTTGGGCTGGACAAGAAGCATTATTTAGAATATGAGGTCATATTCCACCTATTTTCTCTTCCCCTTTTAATACTTTGATAGCTATAATAAATAAATATAAAGGTTATTTCCCCTTCTCTTATTTCTAGAAAATTTATGACATTCACATCACAGCCATTACTTACCTTTCACATTGGTAGGTAGAGTAACTCTAGTGTTTTAAAACAGTATAGCATAAATCACATAATTACACTCACCACCTGAATGTGTTGATGGAAGAGTAGTGAGAACATAGAATGGGCATAGCAACCAAGAACTTACTTTCAAAAGCATCCTTGTTTGATTTATTTTTATTTTGTATCGATAAAAACAAGACAACAGACCCAAAATAAAGTCACTTATACTAACCTCCATGTCACCAAACTGAGACTTAATTACAATTTTGGCTCTCCCAGAAATGGAAGCTTAAACCAGTCAATTAGGAACTGCCTGATCAGCCTAGTTAGGTAATCTGCCTGATAAACCCACTGTCATCCCCTAAAGGAAAGTAATCTTTTAATACCCAACCCACTTTTTGGCTCAATATAACTTCTTTGTTCTTGCTCCCTTCTGCTTATAAGTGTTTCATTTTTTTTTAAATCCTCATCTGGGGATATTTTTCCATTTATCTCAGACACAGTGGGAGGAAGAGAGAGAGAGAGAAACACCGATGTGTGAAGGACACATCAATCGGTTGCCTCCTGCCGGACCCCGACCAGGGCTGGGGACTGAACCGCAACCGAGGTATGTACCCTTAGTGAGGACTGACCCCGGGACTCTCTGGTCTGGGGGCCGACACTCTAACTGCTGAGCCAAACCAGCCAGGGTGGAGTGTAAAACAATTTTTAAGATTTTGTTACATCTTGCCCAAATACCCTTGAGAAATGCCATACCAGTTTACACTCCCACCAGCAATATGAATCCGCCAGCTTTGCATCCCTGCCAATAAGAGGAATTATCTTTTTAAATCTTTACCAGTGGGAGGAAGGCAGTAGGGAAAGGGGAATGCCATCTCATTGTTGCTTTCATGTGCATTTATTGATTACAGGGAAGCCAAAATTTAACATTTTGTAGATTTATCCTGACCATTTTCTTTGTTTTGTTTTGACGAACTGTCCATTTATGTTGTTTGCTTATTTTCCACTCTGGTGTTCATGTTTTCCTTATTACTTAGTAAAAACCTACGCCTAGTTTTTAATTCAATCAGCACTTTCCAGCTATATGTAATACTATAACAAAACTTTTCTCCTGATAAGCAGTGTATGCCACAAAAAAAGTAACTAAGGCCAAGGTTAGGTTATCAGGACAATCTGTGTTTTTCATTATGATGGACACAAAAGAAAACTGAGTGAACATTTGTTGAATGAAAAGAGAGAAGGGGGACTAATATTTCTAAAATGCCTACTATGTGTCTGGTCTCAGATGCTTTACACAGATTTTTTACAATTTATCTTTATTGCTGAAAGTATTACAGATACCCCCGCTTTTATCCTTCACTGACTCCCTCCTCCCCACTCCTGCCCCCACAAAAGTCAGTATCCATATCTATCCTGTAAAAAAATCTCCAAAATACTACTACAGAACCACATGCTAATTAGGTACAATATATACACTAAAGGAATTCTCCTGAAGGAAATTTATTTTGTTAATCCTCACTGGAGGATATGTTCTTATTGATTTCAAAGAGAAGGGAAGGAAGAGGGAGAGAGGAAAAGAGGGAGGGAGGAAGAGAGAAACATTGACTGGTTGCCTTTCGTATACACCCTGACTGGAGATTGAACCCGTAAACTAGGTATGTGCCCTGACGGGAATCGAACTCGAGACCTTTTGGTGTATGGGACTACCCTCAACTGAGCCACACTGGCCAGGGCAGACTTTCCTATTTAACTCTGACAATTCTGTGAGATAAGTGAGACTACCACCATTTTAGAATCTCAGAGAGGTTTGGGGACCTGATTAAGGTTAGAAAATACAGCAGAAAATGACAGAGTTGAAATTTGGACCTTGATCTAATTCACTCCAAAGGTTTTCTTCCCTCCTATACTTTGCTGTCTTTGTGTAAGAACCTGAAGAGGAGTGAGGGACTGATAGAAACAGCCCTGAGCTACCAGCACTGAACAGATGGTGAGGGATATTAAATTAAATGTTTGTTGAATGAAGATGAAAGTATTGCATGCTTGTTACATGCTAGGCACAATGCTGGCACTGAGGATGTTGTTTGGATATTTAGAGTTGAATAGTTGCAACAGTGACCATATGGCCATAAAGTCTACCATATTTACTTATTGGCCCTTTAGAGAAAATGCTTCCAGACCTCTGTTCTAAATCTTACCTGTCTCTTTTGGCAGCTTTGCTGTGGATTGCTGGTCCTGTTCTCCAAGCCCTAACCTGGCCAGATTTCTAGTAGGCTATGACTTTACATTTCCTCTGACACATCTCTTCATCAGCTGTGTGCTTCTGACTCAATTTAAAGTGGTTCAGTTAATGGATGTAAATAAAAATAAACAACCTAAGGCCCCACCCAGTGAGGTAAATGGATTTTTTAAAATCAGGAAATAACAACTATGAGTTCATTATACTTTCAAAGAATTAAGCAGCATTTGAACTTAAAAATTACATATATAATCTTATGTAGGTATTTACAAATAGAAAGCAAAGTAGCAATATGGAGACCCTTCTGTTCAAGGGATATTTATATAAGAAGTCTTTGTGGGGAAGATGGCTGAAGCACAGTTCCTGAATCTCTTCGGATTTCAATACAAAAACAGAACAACTAGATATAAAATACAAACCTATGGGTAATATTTACAACAAAACCAACTGAAGAGGTATCCTCATGAACCCCCAAATATAAGCAGGTACGGATATCGTCTAGTTGGGAAAACAATCATTGTCACCATACATCTAACCCAACAAGGTGAAAGAAGTGAAAAGCAGCTCTTCTCACCAAAACGCTGGACAGTACCTACTTAGAGTGTGGGCAGAGTTTTTGAGAGTGGTGTGCACATGGAGCAGAAGAGCTTACTTGAGACCTTCCTTCATCAGTTTCCAACAAACAGCACATTATCTGGTGCCAGAATTCATATCTCAGAGCTTAGAGAGGCATGCACCACTAGTAGTGAGCTTGGCCAGACTGACCAAGGATGAACAACCTGGTATATCACTTGTGGAAGGCTGTTTATTCTTTCAACTAACTTGATAGGGGCCAATTCTAACCTCTTACCTGTTGCTGCTGTTCCCTGGACTTTCTTAGGCTGCTTTGGGGCTGTGTACTGGAAGAATTCATTTCCATGGTCAGCAGCTGTCTGGTCCCGTCCAAAAAGAGAGGCCAATCTGGCACTGTCAGCAGAAAATGAAAATGACATTTCATTTGACATATCTCAAAATCTGTCATTATAAATGCCGCTCATCTCCAACCTTAAATAAATACCTCCTTGACTGTATATCCCACTATTCAATACTAGAAGTGGAAGCTAACAAGTGTCTATGAAATCAAGACTGTATTTCTGCCCTGGCCGGTTTGACTCAGCAGTTAGAGCATCGGCCTGCAGTCCAGAGAGACCTGGGTTTGGTTCCCGCTAAGGGTGCATACCTCAGTTGCAGTTTGTCCCCGGTCCTGGTTGGTAGTGTGGGTGGCAGCCACTCGATGTGTCCCTTTCACATAGATGTTTCTCTCTCTCCCTCCCACTCTACCTGAACGAAAAATGTCTTCGGGTGAGGATTAAAAAAAAAAAAAAGACTGCATTTCTGATTGGAAAAGCATCAGCTGACCTTACCCATCCATAAGACTTTAGTAAAGGCATTTCTTCTTTCAAGACCTCAGTTTCTGCATCTATAAATTGAGGTGGCTGGTCCAGATGCTCTCTATGGTCTCTTTAAACTATAAATTTTTGACTTTAGCAAGTCATAGTTTCCTATTTTTTACTAGTTTTGAAATAAGTTAAAATAAATTGAAATAAAACTGTACTACAAAGTTACTCCATCAAACACTGTCCCATCTACCATTTCATCTAACAGGCAGACCATTCTTTCATCATCCCTTGCAATGTAATCTTATGCCCTAACCATTCCACTGAAACTGCTCTTGCTAAGGTCACCAATAACATCTTTGCTTCTAACCATGATTTTTTGGGGGTCTAATTTGGCTTTCATGTTGCCTTTGTACACTGTCAACTACTTTGCTCTTCAAACAAAATCTTCCCTTGACTTCTCTGGGGATACTTGTGGGGTGGGAAGAGAGACCAGCCCAATTAAGACATCGATGAAGATAAAGGATTCCTTTCTCATCTTCCCATCTCTCTGGATCCTCATTTAACTTCTTGGACTCTTCCTCCTCTGTTCAATCTTTAAATATCCATGCCCCCCAAATTTTTTTTCTTTATTGATTTTAGAGAGAGAGGAAAGGAGAGGGAGAGAAAGACAGACACATCGATAAGAGAGAACATCAACTGGCCGCCTCCTGCATGTCCCCCACTGGGGATGTGGCCCATAACCTGGGCATGTGCCCTGACAAGGAATCAAACCAGTGATCTCTTGGTGCATGGGTCAACGCTCAACCACTGAGCCATGATTTTATACTCCCTCTCCCTTGGAAATCTAATTTATTTACTTTGGTATCAAGTGCTAACCAAATGCCAATGATGCTCAAATCTGTATCCTCAGCCCAGAATTTTCTCCTGAGTGCCAGAAAACACAGATATCCCACAAGCTACACAAATGCAACATAATGCATCCAAACCAGAACTGACATCTTCCAATCCCCACTGCCCTAGCAAAACCTGTTCTTACTATTGTGCCTCTTCTCTTAATGAATGACATTTTATGTTGGGCTCCCCAAGTCTGCCACCAAGTTCAGTGATTTGCTAGAAGAACTCCTAGACTCAGCACATAGTTTTACTCATGGTTAAGATCTATTATAACAAAAGGATACACAGCAACATCAGCAAAAGGAAAAGGTGCACTGGGACAAAGTCCAGAGGAAACAAGGAGCAAGCTTCCAAGAGTCCTCTCCCAGTGGAGTGGCACAAGACATGTTTAATTCCTCCAGCAATGACTTGCAACATGTGGGATGTGTGGTCTACCAGGGAAGCTCATTAGACACTCAATTCCCCAGGCTTTGAGTCTCTGGGGCTGATAAATAGAACCACTCTAGCATGTACCAAAATTCTAGAATCCCAAAAAGGAGGCAAGGTTCATAAATCATATTGTTCATACAAAGAGTTCAGACAAGCAAGCCACTCTTATCATTTATGGAAAGGTTTATATCAGCGTGGGGAACTGTTTACTATTAAAGTTCCTAGAAGTTAGCTTTGTAAGCAGGGCTTTCTAAGGATAACAGTATCAGGTCTACTTTTTGTCTTGGTGGGAAAATTTCACTGTCACCATATATCTAACCCAGCAAGGTGAAAGAAATGAAAAGCAGCAATTCCTTCTTGTCAAAACACTGGACACTATCTACTTAGAGTGCAGGCAGAGTTTTGGAGAGTCAGGTCCACGTGGGTCAGAAGAGCTTACCTGCAACCTTCCTCCATCAGTTTTTAGCAAAGAGCATACTACTACTCATTTCTGCAAATACCTACAACTAACTGAAATCTGGGGATCATCCTTGACTCTTTTCCCCGCTAGTATTCATAACCAATACCTGAGTCCATTTAATTTTACTTGCTAAACATTTCTTGAACCCATTCACTTCTCTCCATCCTCACTGCCACTCCCTATTTCAGGCCACCATCACATCTACCTAGCTAGAATTATTACAACCACCTCCTGACTCATCTCCCTACCTGGGTTTGCCTGCTTCTTATCCATTCTCCACACTGTACCTATAGTAATCTTTTGAAAAAACAAATTTGACCAAGTCTCTTTCTTCCTTAAAACCCTTGAGTACACCTCAATATTACCAAAAATCCAAACTCCACAAGACAGCTTTACAAGGCCCTTCAAGACCTAACCTCTCCTTATTCCCCCAGCTGCCTATCTGGCCATTTCGCCAATCCAACTGTGTGCTACAGCCACACTGAGGAACTTTTACTTTCTCAAATAAGGCAAGATGGTGCTAATCTCCTGCCTTTGGAGATGCTGTTTCTTCTGTGTGACAGTCTTCCTGTTCCTCCTTTCCCCTGGAAGCTGCCCCTAATCTCAAAGTTTAGGTTAGGTGATCTTCCTAGGAGCTCCTATAGAACTCTAAACTTCATTCATTCAGTGTCAAACACTGTGCTGACTGCTGAGTATATACTGGTGAACAAAACTGGGTTCTATTTTCAAGGAGTTTATACATTCTTAACAAGGGAATTAGAAATTACATAATATATAATTTCAAACTATAAAATATATAACAGGTAGCTGTTGTATGGTGTTATACTCCACAGAGATTAATAAAAGTTATTCAATCATTTATCCTATAACATGATTATTTTTTATTATAATCACCACTTCACTGTATATTTTGCCTTGGGTCTGGTATGTAATAGGCTCGATAAATGAACTCAAAGTCTAATCTAGCTCTAAGCTTCTCTTCTTCAAAACCATCCTTAGTTTAGGTGAAGTAAATATTAAAACTTCGCAATAATTTTTCGGGCCTTTTTTTACAATAATTTTAATGTATAATATATACCACCAATTTGCAAAATAAATGTAATATGATTTGAAATGATTCCCTTGTTTTCTCAAGATAGTGTACTATTAGCTTCCTGTAAAATGGGCCAACAAGGCCTACTGTCATCCCATACACCAAGAGGTCACCAGTTCAATTCCCAGTCAGGGCACATGCCCAAGTTGCAGGCTCCATCCCCAGTGGGAGAGGGGGAGGGCGTGCAGGAGGTAGCCGATCAACATGTCTCTCTCATCGATGTTTTTATCTCTCTCTCCCTTCCTCTCTCTCTAAAATCAATAAAAAAATGTATTTTTTATTTTTATTCATTTATTTATTTTATCCTCACCTGAGGACATTTTTCCATTTTTGTTCAGATAGAGTGGGAGGGAGAGAGAGGAAGAAAGCGAGAGAGAAAAACATCGATGTGAAAGGGACACATCAAGTAGTTGCCACCCACACCACCAACCAGGGCTGGGGACCAACTGCAACCGAGGTACGTGCCCTTAGCAGGAACCGAACCCGGGTCTCTCTGGCCCGTAGGCTGACACTCTAACTGCTGAGCCAAACCGGCCAGGGTGGAAATATGTATTTTTTAAAAAAGGACAAAGAACACCTGCCAGAATGGCTGCCATGAATAAATCATCAAACAACAAGTGCTGGCAAGGGTGTGGAGAAAAGGGGACTCTAGTACACTGCTGGTGGGAATGCAGACTGGTGCAGCCACTATGGAAAACAATACGGTGTTACCTCAAAAATTAAAAAATTTGACCTAGTGATCCCACTTCCAGGAATATATCCTAAGAAGCCTAAAACACCAATCAGAAAGAATATATGTACCCCTATGTTAATAGCAGCACTTTTTACAATTGCTTAGTGTCCATCAATAGATGAGTGGATAAAAAAGCTGTGGTACATATACACAATGGAATACTATGCAGCTGTAAGAAAGAAAGACCTCTTATCCTTTGAGACGACATGGAGGGACTTGGAGAATATTATCCTAAGTGAAACAAGCCAATCAGAGAAAGACAAATATCACATGATCTCACTTATTTGTGGAATATAATGAACAAAACAAGCTGATGAACAAAATAGACCCAGACTGACAAATCTCAGAAGAGGGGGAACACGGGGTGGGGGAGGAGATAAACCACAGAACCTATATGCATGTATGCATAACTATGGACAATGCTGGGGGGGGGGGAGTAGGATTGGGAGGAGGGTGTCAATGGGGGAAAAAGGAGAAACATCTGTAACAAAAATTAAATTAAAAAATAAATAAATAAAAATTTTAAAAGGACAAAGAGATTTAAATGAAATTGCAAGTGTAGAGAGCAGTGCTAGCCTAAATAAGATATCAACAAGTGTTAATAAAATTTAGAATAGATCAAGATTTCTCCTTTTAGCCGAGGTGATCTGGGCAAAAGAATATGTTTCTGAAAGAACTGGGCAATGCCTTTAACATTGTAAAAAATTTACAAAGTTTCAATCCTAGTTTCTATATAATAGCTTATACACAAGTATAGTTGATAAGAAAAGAATGTCCTTGTTAACTTCAGTAAACTATGGGTACTGGATTTGCTGTTTCAATTTTGTAGGTATGTTTTTTCCAAGGGGAAAACAAGTGTCATAGGTAAACAATATTTCCACAGAGGTTCTAAAGGCCAGACAATTAATGATTGCAAAATCAGTCCTAAAGCCAGGTCAACCCTATTATCTTTCAGATTAATTCTACTTTCTATTAATATTTTAAAATAAACTCTATATATGAGTATCTTATAAATTATTATACTTTTCTACTTCTAAAGTGTTCTCAGATGTATACGTCTTCCTATGTTAGCAAGAATGGGCTTGCTAACTCTGGACTTGACTCTCCCTGTTTATAGTTCATGGGAAAAGTCATTACATCATTAATTATATTTTATTTATTTATTTTCTTTATTGATTTTAGAGAGAGAGGAAGGGAGAGGGAGAGATAGAAACATCAATGAGAGAAAACACTGATTGGCTGCCTCCTGCATACTCCCACTGGGGATTTGGCCCAGAACCTGGGCATGTGCCCTGACAAGAAATTGAACCGGCGACCTTTTGGTGCATGGGTCAACATTCAACCACTGAACTACACCAGCCGGGCCATTAATTACATTTTAAAAATAAATGCTAGCCAATGCACTTAGTTGCCAAAGTCTTTGTCTTACCTTAGTTTTATACTCTTCTTTTCTTATCAAAATAAGTAACACATACATTTATAATACATCAGTATATTTTAATAAACAAGGGTTCTTTTTGTGGTTAAAGTACTTCTTGAATTGTGTCATCAAATCTTTACTTCTACAATAATGATAATGGCACATGCACAGTCTGGTGGCAATATGCTTTCCTGAAAAATCCAGGCTCTTTTATTTTTTATCTGCGTGACCTTGGGCAACATACCTCTCTGATCCTTAATTTCCCATTTGTAAAATGGGTATAATAAAAGGCTACCTCACAGAGTAGTAGGGAGAAGTAAATACAATAATGTATATGTATTACTTTAGAAGGACATACAGTGCCTGGCACTGAGAAAGTACACCATATATTATTTTATATACATGTGCACACATCCTATTACCTTAAAATGTCGATTCAAGTCAGATACCTCTGTGGAGAAGAAAGCATGCTCAATCGATGCACAAACTGACCTGTAACTATAAACTGATATTAACACAAATACGAAACTATAGAACTGGGAAAGGTCTCAAAAGAGATCATCTAAGGAAAACCCCATTATTTAACAGACTGGGGTATGGAGAGCCAAGGATGAGAAGTGACCTGTCCAAAGTCACACTCCTAACTAGGGCAGAATCAACATTAGAATCTAAGCTTTTCTATGTCTTTTACGTAACTTAAAAATACTTTTTGATTATCAGTTCCAGATTTATCGCTTTCTACCTTTATACTGGTGACTTATTACTATGCTAATCAGATTTGCCTTCACACTGGAAGTCTCTTAGGGGCAGGAACTTCACCTCATTCCTTTCTGTATTAGTTGAAGCCAAGTACCATATACTTGGCAGGCATTTACATATTTCTTCATTTCAAAGTCACAATATAATGGTGGGGAAAGAGCTAAAACAGAAAAAAAAAAAAAGCAAACTTCCTGATTACTACTTCTAAATTAATCACAGACTTTAAGAGGTCTGGAAACTTGGAACATGGATTATCAATCATCTAGATAGACATCCTACGCACTAATGCTACCTTTTCTATTAGGCTTGACTATCCTAAATGGGATCAAGTAAGTCATATACTTAAGTCAAAATACTTAAAAATGAATAAGCAAGTATATTTACAGTAAATTAGTTATAAAGCAGGAAGTGAAAAACAGCAGCAGTGCTTACTATCACATGTTCTACTTCCTTAGAGAAACCAAAGAAGGAATAGCTGAATGAGAGAATATTGGTGAAATTTTCTATATCCTCAATCTTAAATCTGATTCAAATTTTCTGGTTATTACTGGGAACAAAAAAAAAAGTATCTGTATAAACTTGTTTACTAAGTCTTTTACCATTCACTTAGCTCCTATCTATGTTTAACAGCATACATAGTCACATGCCTGGAACTAAATAAAGCATTCAAGTTTTATGAGCCTGCTCAGGAAAGCAGCATAGCTGAGCCACCAAGAACTTATCTCAGGCCAGGAATCTGGAAAAGAGCACATGATTGTCATTTTTCACTCTGTAATTTTCAGTCACCAGTAGACTGCTTGTTGCATGAAAGTTGAAAGCCCTAACATTCATCTACAGACATTCCCAAATACTTCCACCTAGTGAAGAATGTGAATGTGAAGTATATCTTGTAAACTTTCACAAGGCACAGCCATATACAAAATAGGTTTGTATGAAAAAAACATTAATTCAAAAGGCTTACTACATAGTCAACAGTAGCAGGCTGGATTGTGTGGACATTTTAGTGAATGTTCTTGGTGGAATAGGAAAAAAAAAATGAATTAAAGCATAGCTTAACTCTAAAATAACTGAGCAACTAAAAGAATCCAAAGTGGAACTAAGTGGATGAAGGCCATCTAAAGTGGGGGAAGGTAGAGGACTTAAGGATAGGTAACATCGAGCTAGTCACAGTGTAAGTCAAAAGAAAGCCAGTATCATTTTATGTATTGAATCTCCACCAGGACTGGAAGCAACTTGAGAGCAGGCAGAGCAGCTTAATCATCTTTGCAACCTCTTAGCATTTAGTAGAATGAGGGAGTATATGTTGGTGTATTCATCATTCTTCAAAACATTCTTAAATCGGTTAAACAAATGTTCAAAGAAAGACTCTGCAAGGATCAGAACTTGGCAACTCACAAGTTTGAAGGAAGTCAAGCTGTCTACTGACACAACACAAGGGAATGGCTAAAGTGATTACTGGAAGAGACAAAGAGCTGCCACTGCAAGAACTGCACTCCAGGCCAGTATATACAAAGACTGGAGGTAGGGGATAGCAACCAGTCTCTTAGATTGGTTTTAAGGCGTACAATACAATTTCACAACTAGTATTCATTCAACAGGCACTTCCTGAGCACTCATTATGTGCCAGGCACTGTGCTGAGCGCTAGGCAGAGATGAACAACATAAGAGCTCCCTGTCCTGTCAGGGCTCAGAATCTAGTGGGTTGTGTGTGCAAAGATAGAGGTAATCACGCCTAGCTGTGGGGATAAGGAAGAGAAAACTATGGTTTTCTGCATGGGACTGTGGGAGCAGAGAAAGCACCAAAAAGGTGACATCCGAGCTGGGCCTTGAAAGATTTTGGAGCTGACTCGCCAAGGTCAATTCTTTTTTTAATGTTTTTATTTTTTACTTAGTTATTTATTTTTTAAATATGTTTTCATTGATTTTTTTTTTTTTTTTTTTTTAGAGATAGAGAGAGAGGAAGGGAAAGGGAGATAGAAAACATCAATGTGAGAGAGAAACACCCATCAGCTGCCTACTAGGGATCGAGCCCGAAACCCGGGCATGTGCCCTGACCAGGAATCCAAACGGGACCTCTCAGTCCATGGGAGGACGCTCAATCCACTGAATCACACTGGCCGGGCACCAAGGCCAATTCTTAAATGTCACCGCCTTGTCCACCGAGAAGAGAAAGTCTTATACTGACTCCAAGTGACGCCTATAAAAACTCTTGAGGCGGGTATTCTCTTCAGCAATCACCTGCATTTCACAAAAGAGACTGTGACCCAGAAAGCAGAACGCGAACCCCAGGTCAGGCTGCGTGTCACGGGAGATGCCAGGCCCGGAATGCCGGGGGACGGACTCAGCAGTTCCGAGCTCCGCCAGAATTCCAAGAGCTGTGAGTAGAGCACCGGAATGTGGCAAGGGTCTGGACCCGGAAGTGGGGAAGAGGACTGAAAAAAGCGACCCCCTCCAACCATTTCCCCGGCTTCCTCAGCCACGCCCTCCGCCCCACGCTTCACCGTCACTCACCCGCCGCTAGGCGAGAGGAAGTCGGTGTCGTCCTCGTCGCTCGCACCGAACATTGCGCTGGCTTTTGCCCGGCAGCCCGGAGGAAATCGGAGCGTTTCCAGGGCCTTCAGCAGCCGACGTCGTGAAATGTCGCGGCGGCGGGCTGCTTTCCGGCAGGACGAACTCTCGCACGGTTGCTCCGCGGAGAGGAGACTCTAGGCTCCGGAGGAGGCGGGGTAAAGACAAATGGGAGGACCTCGGAAGGCACGCGCGCCGCGTGACGTAAGGCCTCTCCAGCCTCAGAGGCGGCGGAATCCGCGGGAGCCCCGCAGTCCTGCGCTGGGATTGGCCAATGGGGCGGGGGGCGGTGCAGGGGCGGGAATCGGTGGCCTCAGTGGCAATCGTGTACACGTCGAGCCGGTCAGAAGTGGAGGGGCTTTCTGAAGAGTCGTGAGGGGGCGCTGGGTTAAGGTTCTGCACGGGAGGCGCCGGTGGCGGGACTCGATCTGAGAAGGTAAGGCTTCCTTCGTCCCTCTCTCATCCCTGGCGCGAGCACACCCCTTCCCCTCCGGGACAAGGACTCTCCACGCCAGTCTTCTCAGCTCGGCGAAAGGAGAAAGGGCCCCGGCTTGGCAGTCTGGAGAGCTGAGCTTTCGGCCCGGCCTCGACAGTGACATAGCCGGAGTGACCTTGAGGCGAGCTGTGCGGTGCCTCAGTTTCCCCGTTTGTAAAACGGGCCTGGCGCCCCTACCGTTTGTCCCCTGTGGCCGACCTCGCTCTTTGTTCGACGGGCTGTTTATCCAGTGCGTCTGAGTGTGTGCCGGCCGGTCCGGAAGCCTGTAGACCGCAGAGGTCATCGAACCAATCCCATTCTCCTCCGCATCCCAGCATTTCCAGGTGGGGAGAGAAGGAACTTAGCACCGGAATGACGGGCCTGAGGTCACACAGAGTAAAGAGCAGGCTGGGGCTGGGTCCCTGGTCTCTTCAGGCCGGACCTAGGGAGCTGGTGCAAGTACCTTCTCAGCCCTGAAGCTCTGTTATTGCTAGACTGTGGCTACGTCTTGAGAGTCCGCCGAGGCAGGCGAGGTGCAGGAGAGCTGGGATATTCCGGGGGGAAAGGAAACTTTAGAAGCTGAAAATCACCAACCTTGGCCTGGGTTTTGCTTAGTTTTCCTGCCACAGACCTAAGTCAACATCAGCTGTTGCCGACTTCTCTGCCTCCAGTTCCTCCCCTCTCTGTCTGTATGTTATGTAAGGATTTCTTTGGTTAACCTGATAGAATTCTTGGAACAATCTCCAGCTAGGCCAGGCTTAGCTAAGGTGAATTAGCAGAGACTGTCCCGCGGTAACGTCCATTTCTATAGACCTCACTGGAATTCCTTCACTCCAGGCTTCTCTCAATCAGCTTAGTACAACAGGTGTCCCTTACCTGCATGTTTTAATCCAGTAACACAAAATTGAAGGGAAGTATTGGTCTCTCCCTCCCAGAGAACTTGGAAGTTCTTGGCACGTCCCTTGTGATGCTTTTTATTGTGATTTGTGTACTTCTAAATTGTAAGCGCCTCAAGGACAGGGATCATTTTATTCATTTTGGTGTCTCCCGTGTCGCAGAGCACTATGCCTTTTTGCCCATAATGGGTTCTTATTAACTCTTTGTTAGGTTAAATAATGGAATTTATCCATGTTCCCTTATTCCTTAATTTACTGTTTTAGTATTGGTTCCCCCCTGTGACCCAGAGAGCCCAGCAATGGCTCTTGCCTTTCATAGTTAGCTTCCAGAGAGAGAAAAGTGCTGTACTAGCTGAGAACCGTCTGTCTGGGCCGCTTAGTCTCTTTTGTTAATTGAAGATGATTTAACTATTGTTTAAAACTCTAGGGGAGGGAAAAGAAGGGAATAAGATAGCTAGAAATATTATATGGAACTCTTAAGTTTTATTGGTGAAGTATTCCTTTATTGAACTGATAGGGCTATTGTATACTCCCTGTGTTTATTTTACAGATTAAGATGGTTAAAGCAGTGATGCAACCGGAATCTTAAGCACTAGAACAGGAACCCTTTACAGTAGACTCTGTTTAGAATGTGAACTTGGTTACTTCTCAGGAAATAAAAGAATGAACTGCATAAATAACATAGCTCTTTTTAACCCCTCTCCCCAGTACTGGTCATTGTCATTTTAGCATTAAAACATCTGAGTAGTGCTTTTAAAAAACACTGAAGGATCATCTGAGTGTTTTTTTTGTTTGTTTGTTTT